ATCTCCGACATTCTCAACTTGTTTAGGGTCTAGGGTCTAGGGTCTAGGGTTTAGGGTTTAGGGTTTAGGGTTTAGGGTTTACGGTAACCTGAGGGACGCAGCGGCGAGGGAGACACACTGCAGGAGGAGCTGCGCGGCTTTGCCTCTTGCATGGACATCGACCTACCAGGCCTTTTAGGGTTTATAGGTTTTAGGGTGGGTTCTTAGAGGAGGGGGGTTCAAGGGGGGTAGGCAACCCAAGGTTTCCCGAATATTCCCTACTACTCCATGAACCCCCCTCCCTTACGAACCCCATAAAGGCCGGCTGGTCATGTTTTACATCTTTGGGGGTTTGGGTTTTGGGGTTTAGGGCTTTTTGGCGTTTAGGTTTTGGGGTTCAGGGTTTGTGTTGCATTTTGGTGTTCGGGCTGAGGGTTTCGGGCTTTTGGTTCTTGTTGTAGGGTTTTGGGGGTTTCGGGTTGAGAAGATTTGGGGCTCTTGGGGTTTGGGGCGTTTGGCTCTGTGTTCAGGGAATCCTAAACCCTAAACCCTAAACCCTAAACCCTAAACCCTAAACCCTAAACCCTAAACCCTAAACCCTAAACCTTGGTGTTGGAATCCTAGAAGTGCTATGTTTGGGGTATTTGGGGGTGAAGGCACGAGCTGCGCTGTGGGCTCGGCTCAGGATACCCTAAACCCTAAACCCTAAACCCTATACCCTAAACCCTAAACCGCCCTGCTTGCTGATGCGAAGGCAACTGGGGTATGGATGCAGCTCAAGGGATCCGGGTACATACCTCAATTCACCCACAGCGTACTGTTCACATGTTCCCAATATGGCCCTTGTCTTCCCTTGAGAAGGATCTTTCATAAGGGTCCCCATCCCATATTCTCTCCTACAACCCCTTCCGCCATTCCCAACTCGGCATCAGGGTTCTCGCATTTTCTTCCTGATGCTTAACGGGAGTGGAGGAGTGGAAATAATCCCTTGCTAGTTCTCATGCTGTAACCTAAACTACCTAGTGTTAACTTACTCCCCACCCCCTTAGGCAGCTTTCATTGTTAGAGTCCGAAAATGGCGAGACTTCGGGTTTCGGATTGAGACAGTTGCGGTTCAGGGTGTAGGGTTTTGTGCTTGAAAGGACCTAGACGGTGCATAGGGGGCGTGAAGGACGGTTCCAGTGCATCGCCCCAGGTCCCCACGAACTGCTCGACACAAACACTCGCCGACTGAACCCAAAACCTCCCATAGGCAGAGCCGCAGAGACGGACGAGGCCGAAGAAGATGAGCTTCCTGTCAATGAGGCAGCTGTTTGGTTTTTGAAAACCCAACCTCAAACCCTAAACCTCGAATCCCTGAGACCTAAACCCACAAAAGAAGTGTTCGGCTTTCGGCCACAGGGCGGTGGCTGACTTTCGGTTCAAGTGGACGGCTTCTCCTCCAGGCTGCTATTCATAATTTCTTTGGGGTTTAGGGTCAGGGTTTAGGGTTTAGACGGTCCTCCTATAGTTACAGCCCTTGGTACATGGTATGGCTTTTTCCTGCCACTTCTAGACACCTAGCCGAAAGCTCTCCTTCGGTCCTTCCTTCCTTCCTTCCGGGACCCAGTTAGAAGGCAGGGGTTCAGGGTGTAAGGTTTAGGGTTAGGGGGTTTAAAGGGTTAAGGGTATTTCGTGTTGGGAGCAGTGTTTCTTCATGTGGGAACCCATGTTGGGAGTGATGTTCCTCCGGCTGAACAAGGGTTGAAGGGCTTAGGGTGCCTTGAGGTTCCCGAAAACCGGAACCCCAAAGGCCCAAACCTCAAACCCCAAACCTAAAACCCAAGCCTTAAACCCTAAACCTCAACCCCCGAACCTTCAACCCTAAATCTAAACGTAAAAGCCCTAAACCTTAAACATAAACCCAAAAGAAACAACGACACACCTCGAGCCCCAAAGCAGAATCGAATTTAGGGTTGAATTACACCCTGAACCCTAACCCAAGAGTGGCTGCTGGAGCCCGAAAGGTGCCAGAGCCCAAAGCCGGGAAGAGGCGGAAGAAGAGGCGGAGGACACGAAGAAGCACTTGGGGGTCTGAGGAATCCCAAAAGCCCGAAACCCGCATTTAAGGCACAATCGCACCCCGCTTTCAAGGCTCTTTCTCACCTAAGCCATGCATCCTATGGAAAAAAAGAGCCTTAAGCCAGAGACCCGAACCCGAAAACCCTGCCTATCATCCCCCAAAAACGCTAAGACCCTCAACCCTGATTAAGGTACATATACCCCAAATCCCTAAACCCTAAACTCAAAACTTACCCTAAACTCACCCTCTACCCCAAACTCACCCTAAACCCTAAACCCTAAATCCTAAACCCTAAACCCTAAACCCTAAACCCTCCACCTTCCTTATAATCCCTCGCTCTGGAGGAAGCTTGGCGTAGCTCCTCACATGGCCGAAGGACCCAGGGACTTCGATCTTCGGGGGTTTAGGGTTTAAGGTTTAGGGTTTAGGGTTTGTTGGGTTTAGGGTTTAGGAGTTTGCGGTTTAGGGTTTATAGGGATTAGGGGTTTAGGGTTTAGGCCTTGAGACTTTTGGGGGTTGGGGGTTCCTTGTCAGGGCTTCACGTTTTGCAGGTCACGGGCTTGGTCAGAGTGCTTCTTGAGATTTTAAGAGTGTTTAGGCTTTAGGGTTTACGGGTTAAGGACAAGGGTTTTAGGGTTTAGCCTAGGGTTTTAGGGTTTTAGGGTTTGGTTTGAGGGTTTTAGAGTTTTAGGCTTTTGGGTTTTAGGGTTTGGGATACGAGGGTTTCACTGTTTTAGGTTTATTGGGGTTAAGGCGGCATAGGATTGTCAGGTTACTGTCGTAGGGCTTTAGGGTTTGAGGCTTAGGTTTTTGTTGTTCTTCTCTTTTGTTTCCGGTTTATGGGGTTTTCGGGTTTTAGGGTTTAGGGTTTTGCAGGGTTTAGGGTTCAGGATTTAAGCGTCGGCGGTTTGCACGGTTCAAGCGCGAGGTAAAAGCGAAGGTACCAGATCCAAGCACCTAATTCCCTAAACCCTAAACCCTAAACCCTAAACCCTAAACCCTAAACCCTAAACCCTAAACCCTAAACCCTAAACCCTAGGTAGTTTTAGGGAGACCCCTTAAAAGGGGAACCCTTCTTAACCCTACTTCTGCTCCTCTTAACGGGGACCTTTTTTGGGAGGGTCCTAAACCCTACACCCTCAACCCTAAACCCTGAACCCTTCTTAACTCCTAATACACCCTCAACCCGAAGATCCTAGACGAGCTCTTGGCTTCCTCACTTCGAAAAAGGTACTTGGAGGTTCACGGCACTTATCAAACGGTACTTATGTCCCACTTTTTGAGCCCCTTTAGTGCCCTAAGATTGGTGATAATTAGGCTATAAGTACAGTTATCATTGGGTCAAGAAGTACTATGAACCTCCAAGTGCCGGTGTCCTCTGCATACCCGTCAAAGGGTTTAGGGTTTAGGGTTTGGGGTTTAGGGTTTAGGGTCTAGGGTTTAGGGTTTAGGGGATGCGTAGGGCCGCAAGCGTTAATTATGCAGGGCTCTGAGGTATTGCTGCGTTAGGAGGGCCATTTAGGGCTTCTGAGAGCGTAGGACCCGACGGCCCGCCAGAAGATACCTGGGGCGGAGAGCAGGTGCGAATCTAGGGTTTAGGGTTTAGGGTTTAGGGTTTAGGGTTTAGGGTGTGAAGCGCACAGGGAGAGTTTTTGGGGCCTTCTGCGCGCCCATAGGGGTTTGGGCATGGGTTTCGGGTGTCATTTTTTTTTTCGCAGCCCTTACTTGAAGGCATATGGGTAGTTTCTGCGCTTGCCACGTACTATAGCCATGTATACATACCCATGAACTTCAGGTAAGCCCCTATCCCTACTTACAACTACAGGTATCCCGAAACCTTAATCGTTTAAAGTTCAGAGGCTCTTCAGACATATGGAAACGCATCCGAACGCAGAATTCCTTGACTATGGTTAATATTCAGGGCCTTTGGGTTTTCGAGGTTTCGGGTTTTGGAATTTCGGAACTTAGGATTTCGAGAATTGTGGGTTTTTCTTCTGTTTGTTCGAGCCCTAAGCACCCCAAATCCTGAGGGTTTGGTTGTTTTGGGATTGGGATCCCAGGCAAGTTCAGGCTGTTTAGGTGTGCAGGGCCTTAGTTTCGGGCGTCTCTTTTTTACGGGGTTTAGGGTCTGCGGGGTTTAGGGTTTAGGGTTTAGGGTTTAGGGTTTAGGGTTTAGGGTTTAGGGTTTAGGGTTTAGGGTTTAGGGTTTAGGGTTTTTGGTCAAGTTGCGGGTCTTGAGTTTGGAGTTTCATTAGGGTTCGGGGAGTGGGACGCCGGTGCCCCACAGGAAGTAGGAAGTAGGAAGTTCATGGCCTTTAGGGTTTAGGGTTTAGGGTTTAGGGTTTAGGGTTGGGTTTAGGGTTTAGGGTTTAGGGTTTAGGGTTTAGGGTTTAGGGGCTTAGGGATTTGGGCCTTCAACACCATGAATGACAGAACCTCCGGGCGAAGCATTTGTCCCAGAAGACGCTGCTGTTCAGGATGATCAGCTCATCGTACTCTTGATTCAACACATCTGCTGGCGCTTCAAAGCATGCTCCGTGAGATCAGGATTCGGGGGGCAGGTTTTAGGGTTTAGGGGTTTAGGGTGTAGGGGGTGTAGGGTTTAGGGTTTAGGGTTTAGGGTTTCAGGCATCTGCAGCAGGTGCCATCACCTCTCCGTCTGCCGAAACTGCAGTTCTGAGACCCCGCACAAGGCGTCGGCGCGCCAAGGGAGGAGGAGATGCCGAGCTGGAGCCGGGCCGCAGGATGAGCGCAAAGCCGAGCTGGGGCCGGGCCGGAGGAGTGAGTGAGTCTCACGATTCCTTAAGATGGGCTGTGGAGTACTATACTTTATAATACTTTGTTTTAAGTTTTGGGTTCCCATTTATAGCTACTTATGCCTAAAAAGTATATACTTTTTTTCTGGGTCTACTCCAGAGGTAGGTTAAGATGGGCTTGCAAAGCCAAGACATCCTGCGAGCGGAGCCCACAAGCCCAGCAAAGTGGCAGAATCTGGGTAACATAGGGTCGGCATAAATACGAACAGTATTCCCTTATGGTCTCTCTATGCATCTACTACAATAACCACCCAAACCCTATTCTACCTATTCAGGCCCCTATAAGAGGGTTCTTAGGTTTGATTGTCCAGGGTTTGAAACCCTAAGCCCTAAACCCCAAACCCCAAACCCTAAACCCCAAACCCCAAACCCTAAACCCTAAACCCTAAACCCTAAACCCTAAACCCTAAACGCAGAGTGTTGAGGATTTCGGGTTGCCAAATGCCTAAGACTAGGAAGCCCATGAGCCCAAGTTTTCTTCGCATGCCAACGCCCAGAGCCTTTCAAGGCCCTGAGCCACTTGCTTAGTTTAGGGTGTAGGATTTAGGGTTTAGGGTTTGGGGTTTAGGGTTTAGGGTTTGGGGTTTAGGGTTTAGGGTTTAGGTCACGAAATTCACCCCAGTCAGGTTCTTCCAACCCTGTCGACGGCACAAACTCCGCAACCTTGGTTTTAGGGTTTAGGGTTTAGGGTTCAGGGTTTAGGGTTACGGGGGTTTAGGGCGGGTTTAGGGATGAGGGTTAGGGACCCTTCCAAACCCAAAACCCTCAACCCCAAGCCCCAAATCTGGCCAACAACCCTAAACCTAAAGCCCTCAACCCTCATTCCTGCCACTTGAGCACTAAACCCTAAACCCCAAACCCTAAGCCCCAAACCCTAAACCCCAAACCCTAAACCCTGAACCCTAGCCCTAAACCCTAAACCCTAAACCCTAAACCCTAAACCCTAGACCCTAAACCCCAAGCCCTTAACCCTAATCCCCTGAACATGGTTCACAAGGCCAGCGCCCGACCCAAGCGGAAGAAGAGGCGGCGAAGGAGAGCCTTGGGTTTAGGGTTTAGGGTTTAGGGTTTAGGGTTTAGGGTTCAGGGTTCAGGGTTCAGGGTTCAGGGTTCAGGGTTCAGGGTTTCGGGTTCTTGCTTTACGGGCCTCAGGGTCTTGGGTTAGGGTTGGGAGTTCAGGGTTTAGAGGCGGTATAAGCCCTAAACCCTAAACCCAGGGTGCTAGATCAATGTCGGGTGTCTATTGAATCGATGACTGTGAGGGTTTTTGGCAGGATGCACAGCTTTCAGGCTTCAACCCTCAACCAAAAACCCAAAGCTGGGGTCCAGGGTTTCGGGTTTTATAAAGTTTGCTCTGACCCTAAATATCCTTCTGGTTCGAGGTGTATGTTTCTTGGATTCGTAGGGCTCTTATACAATCCCAGGCCTCGCAAAACACAAGGTATGTGACAAGAAGTGCTTGAACAAGGACGCGACACCGTCAACCCTACTGGTCGTTGTAGGATAGCACAACTCCCAGACTTACTAGGCCCCACAGACCCGACACCCTAAACCCTGCACCCTCAACCTTAAACATTTCATTAAACCCTAAACCTCACCTCCCTGGCGGCACTTCCGCCCTTAAGGTGCCGAGTTCAGGGGTTTATGGTTGACATGAGCCAGCACGGCCGCACCCCCCCCCCCCCCCCCCCCCCCCCCCCCCCCCCCCCCCCCCTTCTCCCCCCCCCCCCGTTTAGAGTTTAGGGTTCAAGTTTTGGGGTAATGGTGGGCTTATGGTTTTCCTCTCTCCCCCTGTGGGGTTCGTGCTGGTTTTTACGGGCAGGGTTAAACGGTTAAGGTTTCGGGGCTACCCTTCTCCGCCCTGTGGTTCATTGGTGGGTTTAGGTTTTAGGGCTTAGGGTTCAGGGTTGGGGTTTAGGTTGAGGGTTTCTCTCTCCCTCCCCTGTGGTCCGTGGTGTTTTAGGGTTAACGGGCAGGGTTTGGTGGGGGGGGGGATTGGGGGGGGGGGGTCGGAACGCGGGCGCATCTAGGGCTTAATGTTTAGGGTTTAGGTGTTACAGGTGGCATACTCATACATACCCCGGGAGGGACCTGTGCTTCATATTCGGGGCATATTTCAGAGGGAGGCATGCGTGAGGTTTCCCAAAAGCAGAGGTTTCATCCCCCCCTACCCTAAACACAAACCCCGAAACATGGCTTCCCCTCTTTATCCTCCAGGGCAGCAAGGAGGGGGAATCTCGCAGGGTTTAGGGTTTAGGGTTTAGGGTTTAGGGTTTAGGGCTTAGGGTTTAGGGTTTAGGGTTTAGGGTGGCGGACTTGGGTTCACCCGCTGAGAAGCAATGCGGCCATTAGGGTTTCGGGTTTAGGGCTACATACACTGCCCCCAAATACACATGCTCTAATCTAGACCCTACCTGGGACCCTGTCTACCTACAGATTAAAGTCCTAAGTACCCCCCTATTTAGTAGGTACCTAAGTCCAGAGCGTCCACCAACCATCCAGAGGCAGGCCCCCTGGGAGGAGGCCCTTGACCACGAGACGCAAGGCGGGCAGATTTCGGGGTTTAATTCGGGTTTAAGGGTTTAGGGTTTAGGGTTCACGGCATGGAAAGCACGGCTTAGAGAGCTTGGGAGTTTCAGCGTTTGCGGGATGCTTATTACGGTACACGGAGCCCGTAAAGGCTGTGAAGGAGCTGCATTGCGGCAGGCTCCAGGCACAAGAATTGTATCAGCGGCCTTTTTAGGGTTTAGGGTTTAGGGTTTAGGGTTTAGGGTTTAGGGTTTAGGGTGTAAGGTGTAGGGTGTAGGGTTTAGGGTTTAGGGTTTAGAAAGGTTTATGTCATATCAATATGTTCATAGAAGTCGTACATACTGTAAGCATGTGTTGTAAGTATACCTGCAACGTCAGGATTTCTGGGTTGCTGTCAGGGACCTTAACTACTGTTCTGCTTTAGAACCCCCCCCCAAAAAAAACACACACACACACACAAGAAAATAGTCCCGACATTGCCGTTATTAAGGAAGGATATTCTCATTTTTCTGATGGGCTCTTAAGGCAAAGAGTAAACGAAAGCTAACCCCTGGCCTGGGTGGACTGCTCCCAGGGCTGGGTGGCGAGCCGGCGGCTACGGCTAAGGCAACGGAAGAGTAGAGCAGGGCTTTGGGGGCTCTGTGGCCTTCAGGGCTTAAGGGCTTTGGGGCTGTTCCGCTTTAGTATTTTTTTTTGGGGGGGTGGGGGGTGGGGGAGCTTTGTAAGGCTTCAGGGGCTTAGGGTTTGGGATGTTTGGGTTTTGTGGCACCCTAACCCCTAAACCCCAAACCCTAAACCCCAAACCCTAAACCTCAAACCCTAAACCCTAAACCCTAAACCCCAAACCCTAAACCCTAAACCCTTACAGCTTTTGGGGTTCAGGGCGTTAGCTCGGGCTCCAGGAGATGCCGTCATGCCTGCGCCTTTCTTTTTCAAGGGGTTCAGACTCGTACCCCCTGGGGTTGTACCGGTAAAGGTTCACCTTAATATTCTCCTCACATGCTCTATAAACCCTAAACCCTGAACCCTAAACCCTAAACCCTAAACCCTAAACCCTAAACCTTAAGGATCTTTGAACTGGTTCCCCAACACCCAGGAGTACAACCTTAAGGGTACAACCCTGAGATTTGTCAGAAGTCTTACCTGTGCCTCCGCTGCGAGCTTCAAAGCATGATGCGTTAACCTACGCGGAATCTAGTGGTGATGATGATGATGACAGGGTTTAGGGTTTAGGTCGTTTTTGCCGCTTTTAGTATAGTGTTTGTATTCGCGTCGAGCCTCCTGTGGCTCGTACCATGAACCTGCATCACATCCCAACAGCATCATACGCAGGAGTATTCTTCAGGGCTTTGGGGGCTTTGGGTTTAGGGTTTAGGGTTTAGGGGTTTAGGGTTTTAGGGTTTTAGGGTTTTGGGGTGTTAGGGTTTTAGGGTTTTAGGGTTTTAGGGTTTTAGGGTTTTAGGGTTTAGGGTTTCCTAGATTAGGGCTGTCCACAGCTGTCAAGCAGTGTCGGCCTGGCTCGTGTTGAACCAAATAAGGGTTTAGGGTTTAGGGTGTAGGTTTAGGGTTTAGGGTTTAGGGTCTGGGGTTTAGGGTTTAGGGTTTAGGGTTTAGGGTTTAGGGTTTAGGGTTTAGGGTGTAGGGTTTAGGGTTTAGGGTCCCGCCCCTCCACACTCCTTTCAACCCGACATCCGAAACCCAAAGGGCCGTCTAGATGTCTCCCCCACCCTACACTCTGAACACGAACCCAAAGCTAAAACCCCTGCCTTTTGCTTCCTAAAACCTAAACCCAAGCGTACCGGGCTAGCAATGGGGTTGGAATCTAGGACCCAGAGTAGGCCCTTGTTCACTCTATTTGGGGTTTGGGTTCCCTTATGCGCCCCTTTTAAACCAAAAAGGGCACTCCTTTTTATTCCGAGGTCACTCTTCGGTCACCCTAAACCCTAAACCCTCAACCCTAAACCCTAAACCCTAAGCCCCAAACCCCAAACCCCAAACCCTAAACCCTAAACCCTAAACCCTAAACCCTAAACCCTAAGCCCCAAACCCCAAACCCCAAACCCCAAACCCCAAACCCCAAACCCTAAACCCTAAACCCTAAACCCTAAACCCTAAACCCTAAACCCTAAACCCTAAACCCTAAACCCTAAACCCCAACTCTTGGGGGTCTTGGAAGGGTTTTGGGAGCCGATCGGAGGAGGAGGAGGAGCACCTGGAGCCGGAGCTTCCGGAGACTGGCGAAAACGCGCCGGCGAAGGAGACAAGGGGCTGGTGTAGAAACCCTAAACCCTAAACCCTAAACCCCCGAAAATATGTAGAGTGATGACCATTTTTTAATGTTTTTTGGTTTTATTTTTACACACCTTGAGTGTCCAGGGAAGCCTTAAAGCCCGAAACCCCCAACCCACATCTCCTAGGGCTTTGTAGGGTTTAGGGATTCATTAGCGTGTAGGATTCTGTTTTCTTTTCATACTTCGGGTGTCCCGGGAAGCCCTCAAGCCCTAAACCCCACATCTCCCAGGGCTTTGTAGGGCTTTGGGGCTTCAGTAGGCGAGGGAGTGGGGGGAGGGTTTGTGCGACTTCATGTTCCCATGTCTTATTCAGGCCCAAATGGAGCTTCTACACCAGGGGTCTTCTTGTGTTGAGCCAAGCCCTAAACCCTAATTAAACCCTAAACCCTAAACCCTAACCCTAAACCCTAAACCCTAAACCCTAAACCCTAAACCCTAAACCCTAACAAAAGAACTCCTCTCTGGGCCTTGCTCCCAGCATTTCGAGAGCCGATGTCCATGCATGGCTTTCGAGCTTGGACGTGTCGGGCAAGGTTGCACTAAAGGTCACGCTTCCGGACTTTCGCAGGGTCAGGGTTTAGGGGTTTAGGGTTTAGGGTTTAGGGTTTAGGGTTTAGGGTTTAGGGTTTAGGGTTTAGGGTTTAGGGTTTAGGGTGTAGGGTTCGACTGAAGGTTTTGGGCTCAGGGTTCGGGCTGGGGCTTTCAACCCTGAACCCCATACACCTTGCAATGCTTCCAGCCCTCAGGCACTCCTGCCCAAGCCCATATAAACCCCCAACCCCCGAGCATAGGCAGAGCCGTCCAACAAATTACGAACTGAACCCCTGAACCCTAAACCCTAAACCCTAAACCCTAAACCCGAATCCCTGAACCCTGTACCATTTCCTGAGCCCTCCCCCACAATCCCTGAACTCTCGGCCCCAAACCCTAAACCCTAAACCTACCCCCTTAACCCTAAACCCTTAACCCTAGACCCTAAACCCTAGACCCTAGACCCTAGACCCTAAACCCTAAACCCTAAACCCTAAACCCTAAACCCTAAACCCTAAACCCTAAACCCTAAACCCTAAACCCTAAACCCTCACCCCTAAACCCTAAACCCTAAACCCTAAACCCTAAACCCTAAACCCTAAACCCTAAACCCTAAACCCTAAACCCTAAACCCTAAACCCTAAACCCTAAACCCTAAACCCTAAACCCTAAACCCTACCATCCCTGAACCCAAAAACTAGGAGAACCCAGAGCCGGTTCCTTCCATCAACGGCCCGGCCGAGCCCGCTTCGGACGCCCCTTTGAGACGATTTTGGGTCTGGGGTTTAGGGTTTAGGGTTTAGGGTTTAGGGTTTAGGGTTTGGGGTTTGGGGTTTGGGGTTTGGGGTTTGGGGGTTTAGCGTTTGGGGTTTCGGGGTTTCGGGTTTCGGGGCTTGGGGTTATGGGCGTGGGGTGTTGGGTTTTGGGTTGGGGTTTTGTCATTTTGGTGTTTTGGGGTTTGGGGTTTTCGGTTTGGGGTTTGGGGTTTTCGGTTTAGGGTACTTTAGGCTTTGGGGTTTAGGGAGGTGGGTTTGGGGTTTAGTGTTTGGGGTTTTGGGGTTTAGGGTTTTGGGGTTGTGGGGTTTGGGAATTTTGTGTTTTTGGAGTTTTTTTTGGGCTGGGTTTAGGAGTTTTGTTTTTTTTGGTGTGTTTTGTGTGTGGGTGTTTTTTGGGTTTCTGGGTTTTTGGGGCGCTTGGGGTTTGAGGGCTTTACTAGGCTCAGGGTTTCGGCTTTGGGGATTGCACATGGGTGGTTGTCAAAAATTGCGGTCCCTTTTTGGATCCCCGTTATAATCCGGTACCGCATATTTAGGGTACCCCAAAAGCCTAAACCCTAAACCCTAAACCCCTAAGGGGAATCATAAGTTGACAGCCACCCATGTACTTGGAGGTTCAAGGTACTTACTAACCAATTATAGCTGTACTTATAACTGTACTTCTAGCCATATTAGGGCACTTAAGAGGCTTATAAGTACAGTTATATAAGTACAGCTATCATTGGTGAGTAAGTACCATGAACCTTCAAGTAAGGGTTTAGGGTTTAGGGTTTAGGGTTTAGGGTTTAGGGTTTAGGGTTTAGGGTTTAGGGTTTAGGGATAGTTCAGCATTCATGGCGAAGGGCTGAGGGTGACTATTGTACATTTGGATGTTCCCCCTTTTATACTAACAGTCCTTAGTAGGGATTGGAGTGGGGTTACGATAATCCCCGTTAGAATGAGGGGGGGGGAACATCCCAAGTTGTACATCTGTCGAATGGAGCTTAAGTCTTGCCAGTGGGCGACAACTATAAACCCCAAAACTTGCGGGCTGGGTTTAGACGTTTGGGGGTTTCGGGTTCAAGGGTGTAGGGTTCGGGCTGAGCTCCCCCAAACCTCTTGAGTACGGAAAAGAGAGGAGGCGGGGCGCGAGATGCCCGAAACTGGGGACACGCAGATGGAAGAGGCCGCCGAGAAGGACTGGCGAGGGATTGTAGGCTTTAAGGTTTGGGGTGGTTTGGTGTTTGGGTTTTAGGCTGACATGAAGTGCAAGTTTAGGGTATGCAGGACAAGCATGTCTCGCCCTAAGCCCCAAAAGCCTATCACCCCATGGGACTTCTAGCGCCAAGTACAAATCACAAGGATCAAGAGGAGGCGGGGCGCGAGATGCCCGAAACTGGGGAGCTGCAGACGGAAGAGGACGCCGACAAGGACTGGCTTAGGGACTACATGCTTTAGGGTTTGTGGGTGGTTTGGTGTTTGGGTTTTAGGGTTGTATGAAGTGTAGCTGTAGGGTGTGCTGTACAAGGGGCCCTATCACCCTATGTCAATGTGACGTCTAGGGCCCCGTACAATAAGCAGTAAAGTTCCGGTTCGGTTCGGTTCGTTTCGGTTCGCGGGCCGGCGGTTCGTAGCGGTTCGGTTCGTTCGGCGGTTCCGGTTCCTAGCGGTTCTGTGCGTTTTCGGTTCGGTTCGGTTCGGTTCCAGAAAACCCGAAAGCCCTAAACACGCCGAAGCCCTCATGTTCTGGACCCTTCTGATATGTTTCGACTCCCCAAAACTTTTCCTTGAGGGCAGGTTTCCAGGTTTGGACCCCCAAACGTGCAGGTTTCCAGGTTTGGACCCCCCAAACGTTGACGTTTCCAGGTTTTTACCCCCCAAAACGTGCAGGTTTCCAGGCTTGGACCTGCAGGTTTCCAGGTTTAGACCTGCCAAAACGTGCAGGTTTCCAGGTTTGGACCCCCCAAAACGTTGACGTTTCCAGGTTTGCAAAACGTTGACGTTTCCAGGTTTGGACCCGAAAAACGTGCAGTTTTCCAGGTTGGGACCCCCAAAACGTGCACGGTTGCAGGTTTGGACCCTCCCAAACGTGCAGGTTTGCACGTTTTGGGGGTCCCAACCTGGAAACCTGCACGTTTTGGGGGGTCCAAACCTGGAAACGTGCACGTTTTGGGGGGGTCCAAATCTGGAAAGCACGTTTTGTGCACGTTGGGGCGGTCCAAACCTGCAAACCTGCAAACCGGCACGTTTAGGGGTTCCAAACCTGGAAACCTGCACGTTTTGGGGGGTCCAAACCTTGAAACCTGCACGTTTTGGCAGGTCCAAACCTGGAAACCTGACAAACCTAGAAACCTGCACGTTTCAGGGGTCCAAAACCTGGAAACCTGCCGCAGGTTTCCAGGTTTGGACACCCCCAAAACGATGAGTTTCCAGGGTTGGACCCCCAAAACGTGCAGGTCTCCAGGTCCGGTTTGGACCCCCAAAACGTTGACGTTTCCAGGTTTGGACCCCCAAAATGTGCAGGTTTCCAGGTTTGGACCTGCAGGTTTCCAGGTTTGGACCTGCCAAAATGTGCAGGTTTCCAGGTTTGGACCCCCCAAAACGTGCAGGTTCCCCCAAAACGTTGACGTTTCCAGGTTTGGACCCGAAAAACGTGCAGTTTTCCAGGTTGGGACCCGTTTGCCGGTTTGGACCCTCCCAAACGTGCAGGTTTGCACGTTTTGGGCGTCCCGACCTGGAAACCTGCACGTTTTGGGGGTCCAAACCTGGAAACGAGCACGTTTTGGGGGGGGTCCAAATCTGGAAACCTGCACGTATGGGGGATCCAAACCTGGAAACCTGCACGTTTTAGGGGGTCCAAACCTGGAAACCTGCACGTTTTGGCAGGTCCAAACCTCGAAGCCTGCACGTTTGGACCTCACGTTTGGGGGGTCCAAACCTGGAAACCTGCACGTTTTGGGGGGCCTGGAAACCTGCAGTTCGCATGGGCCATGTGAACGGAGCCCAGCTTTAGTTGAACGGAGCCTAGCTTCAGTTCCCTACCTTCAGTTTGCATGGCCAGAGAGCCTACCCACAGTTCGCATGGCCAGGGCCATTGGATCCAGGGTCTCCGAAAAGCCACCAAAAGCCACGTTTGGGGGGTCCAAACCTGGAAACCTGCACGTTTCGGGGGGTCCAAACCTGGAAACGTCAACGTTTTGGGGGGGTCCAAACCTGGAAACCTGCGGCGACCCCTGAAACGTGCAGGTTTCCAGGTTTGGTGCCAAAAGGTTTCCAGGTTTGGACCTGCCAAAACGTGCAGGTTTCCAGGTTTGGACCCCCCAAACGCGCAGGTTTGCAGGTTTGCAGGTTTGGACCCCCCAAAACGTGCAGGTTTCCAGATTTGGCAGGTTTCCAGGTTTGGACCCCCAAAATGTGCAGGTCTCCAGGTTCAAACGTGCGTGCAGATTTCCAGGTTTGGACCCCCTAAACGTGCAGGTTTCCAGGTTTGGACCGCCAACGATGTTTGGGGTCCAAACCTGGAAACCTGCACGTGTTGGGTCTTAAACCTGGAAACCTGCACGTGTTGGGAGGTCCAAACCTGGAAACCTGCACGTTTGGGGTGTCCAAACCTGGAAACCTGCACGTTTTGGGGGGTCCAAACCTCGAAACCTGCACGTTTGGGGGGTCCAAACCTGCACGTTTGGGGGGTCCAAACCTGGAAACCTGCACGTTTTGGGGGGTCCAAACCTGGAAACCTGCAGTTCGCATGGGCCATGTGAACGGAGCCTGGCTTTAGTTCGCATTGCCAGGGCCATGTGAACGGAGCCTAGCTTCAGTTCCCTACCTTCACTTTGCATGGCCAGGGCCACGTGAACGGAGCCTACCCACAGTTCGCATGGCCTTCAGTTCACATGGGCGGCCATGTGAACGGAACCGACCTTCAGTTCGCATGGCCAGGCCATGTGAACGGAGCCTACCTTCAGTTCGCGTGGCCAGGGCCATTGGATCCAGGGTCTCCGAAAAGCATCCAAACCTGGAAGCCTGCACGTTTTGGGGGGTCCAAACCTCCTGAAACCTGCACGTTTGGGGGGTCCAAACCTGGAATCCTGCACGTTTTAGGGGGGTCCAAACCTGGAAACGTCGACGTTTTGGGGGGTCCAAACCCGGAGGGTTGGAAACCTGCGCGTTTTGGGGGTCCAATCCTGGCGAGGTCCAAACCTGGAAACCTGCACGTTTGGGGGGTCCAAACCTGGAAACCTGCACATTTTGGGGGGGTCCAAACCTGGAAACCTGCACGTTTTGGGGGTCCAAACCTGGAAACCTGCACGTTTGGGGGGTCCAAACCTGGAAACCTGCACATTTTGGGGCGTCCAAACCTGGAAACCTGCACGTTTAGGGGGTCCAAACCTGGAAACCTGCACGTTTTGGGAGGTCCAAACCTGGAAAACTGCACGTTTTGGGAGGTCCAAACCTGGAAACTGCCCTGCGTACCCCGAAATAGTAGAAAGTTTAGGTGATTGGAATTATCCTTCTGGCCCCCGAGACCATGCAATATAGGTTTAAGGACCTCGAAACCTGGACAAAACCTCTTCACTCCAATCGTGACAGAAATGTTTGGGGCTCTGTGCGCATCTCCAATGACGAGTTTGAAGGGGCCAAAACTTGATTCTAGGCCCTGCAAATCCGGATAAAACCATGATATCTTCAAGCCTTGCACCTCCAAGACCCTTCAATTTTGGAGGGTTAGCCGAGAACCGAGTCATGTTTTTGCGACAGTTTGATTGTTTCAAAACAAGTTTGGAGGGACCCAAACCTTTCAGTATCATGCTCTATTTGACTTGGGCTCCTGGCCGAAACCGGTTCGCTGTCGAAACGGTTCCGGTTTTCGGTTCGCTTGCGGTTCGCGGTTCCTACGGTTCGTGTTTGCTGGCCGGTTTTGGCGGTTCGGTTCGTGGCGGTTCGGTTCGTGCGGTTCCGGTTCGGTTCCAGAACCTTCCTGAATAAGAAGGACCAAGAGGAGGCGGAGCGCGAGATGCCCGAAACTGGGGACACGCAGATGGAAGAGGCCGCCGAAAAGGACTGGCGAGGGATTGTAGGCTTTACGGTTCGGGGTGGTTTGGTGTTTGGGTTTTAGGCTGACATGAAGTGTAAGTTTAGGGTATGCAGGACAAGCATGTCTCGCCCTAAGCCCCAAAAGCCTATCACCCCATGGGACTTCTAGCGCCAAGTACAAATCACAAGGACCAAGAGGAGGCGGGGCGCGAGATGCCCGAAACTGGGGAGCTGCAGACGGAAGAGGACGCCGACAAGGACTGGCTTAGGGACTACATGCTTTAGGGTTTGTGGGTGGTTTGGTGTTTGGGTTTTAGGGTTGTATGAAGTGTAGCTATAGGGTGTGCTGTACAAGGGGCCCTATCACCCTATGTCAATGTGACGTCTAGGGCCCCGTACAATAAGAAGGACCAAGAGGAGGCGGAGCGCGAGATGCCCGAAACTGGGGAGCTGCAGATGGAAGAGGCCGCCGAGAAGGACTGGCGAGGGATTGTAGGCTTTATGGATTGTGGGTGGTTTGGTGTTTGGGTTTTAGGCTGGCATGAAGTGTAGTTTGGGTATGCAATAAAAGGTATGCGGCATAGGGTATATGGTTTGCCCCAAGCCCCAAAACCCCATTATCCTATGTGACTTCTAGGGCCACGTACACTAGCAAGGACCAAGAGGAGGCGGGGCACGAGATGCCCGAAACTGGGGACACGCAGATGGAAGAGGACGCCGAAAAGGACTTGCTTAGGGATTCTTGGCTTTAGGATTTGGGGGTGGTTGGGTGTTTGGGTTTTAAGGTGGTATGAAGTGTGATTATAGGGTATGCAGTACAAGTATGGCTCGTCCTGAGCCCCAAAACCCTGTCACCCTGTGTGACTTCTAGGGCCACGCACAATGAGAAGGACCAAGAGGAGGCCGGGCGCGAGATGCCCGAAACTAGGGACACGCAGATGGAAGAGGCCGCTGAGAAGGACTGGCTTAGGGACTATAGGCTTTAGGGTTTGGGGTGGTTTTGGGGGGTTTGAAGGTTTTGGCTTAGTATAATTTTATCAGGTGTACTTAGGGTATACGGTACAGGGTTTAGGGTTTAGGGTTTAGTTTAGGGTTTAGGGTTTAGTGTTTAGGGTTTAGGGTTTAGGGTTTACCCTTTAACTCGATGCGACTTCTGTGGCCCCATGCAAGACGAAGGACCAAGAGGAGGCGGGGCACGAGATGCCCGAAACTGACACGCAGATGGATGAGGCCGCTGAGAAGGACTGGCTTAGGGACTGTAGGCTTTAGGGTTTGGGGTTGTTTCGTAGGCCCTGGGTCCTCTTCCTCTCAAACTCTAGGTACTTGGAAAGGGGTCCTGATGTAGAGAACTGGCCATGGCCGACATCCTAAGGTTCCTAACCCTAAACCCTAAACCCTAAACCCTAAGCCGTAATAAAGTTACTCTGCAGGCTTACATCCCTACACCCCAGCTTGGCAGGGTTTCGGGTTCGGGGTTGGGGTGTTCCCCCATATTAAGGACGGGCAGCGTGTCTTTGTCAACCCGCGAAGGACGTCGACGAGGTGGCAGAAGCTTCCGAGCAAGTCAGTCAGGCCTCTTGGTTGCAATATTGACATGTAGGATTTAGGGTTTAGGGTTTAGGTTTAGGGTTTAGGGGTTTGGGACCCCGCGACTCGAAAGCCCGCTTCGTTCTTCTGGGTTTTGGGTTTAATGTTTGGGGCTTGGGCTTCGGAGCTGAGTTGATCACACAGTATGTGGGGAGTTGCTGATAGCACGTACCGCCATATAATATAGGAAGGGCAGAGCTGGAGGTGATTAGAAACAAGACACTTCCTCCTACAAAGTACATACAAGACGACCACCCCAGACCCCTGGGAGGATCCCAAAAACAGATCCCCTTAAGGGTTCCTAAGAATGACCCAATAGTAGTACAGGGTAGCCCTAAACCCTAAACTCTAATCTAAACCCTATTTGGGGGCTCTATTTTTTTGGATCCTCCCAGGGGTCTGAGCAGTTTCGGCTTGGGTCTCGAAGTGCGAGGCCGCAGATGAGGCCCTGTAGACTCGAGCCCCCTACTATCTCTCACCTCAAACCTTGTTTACGTCGCAATACCTCGACCCTGAACCCTAAAGCCCTAAGCCCTAAACTCTAAACCCTAAGCCCTAAGCCCTGAGCCCTGCATAAACCCTAAACCCTAACCCTAAACCCTAAACCCTAAACCCTAAACCCTAAACCCTAAACCCTAAACCCTAAACCCTAAACCCTAAACCCTAAACCAACAGTCAAGAAGGCTGCCGCTGCATCCTCACCTTCGATATCGCCCGCGTCATCGATGGGCTCTTCCTCCTCAAGCTCCTCCTCCAGCTCTTCGGAGAGCGGGTCGGAGGACCGAGTGTGGCTAAGTTTGAGGGTTTAGGGTTTAGGGTTTAGGGTTTAGGGCTTAGGGTTTAGGGTTTAGGGTTTAGAGGCGTGGCCTAAACCTTAGACCTCTTTAGTACCTTTAGGAGGTTCTTCGCACTAAAACCTCAGACCTCTAAAACCCTAAGCCCGAAAACCCTAAACCCAAAGACCCTGAACCCGGAACAGTTCACGGCTTCGAGCCTTGTGGAGCGGTGGCATATTGCAGTCCAGCACCGAACGCTAAACCCGGCTTTGGGGGCTTTGGGGTTCAGGGTTTAGGGTTGAGGGCTAGGGTTTAGGGTTTAGGGTTTAGGATGTAGGGTTTGGGGTTCCAGGGCGTAAGCAACAGGCACACCCTGCACTGGGGGTTTAGGGTTTATAGGTTTTAGGGTTTAAGAGGTAGATGTGGTTCTACCAGATTCGTTCAGTGCTTAGGGCTTAGGAACCAGCATGCACTAGCAAGCAATTTGGCTCTCCAATCTGTCCATCCTCTCCAAAGGGCTAGCGTAGGGTTTTGGGTTTTCGGGTCTATAGGGTTTATCGGGATTGGGGACTACAGGGCTAACCTTAAGAACCCCTGACACCCTAAACCTCACAGAACGCCCCACTTCCTTCAAACCCGGCTACAGAGCCTACGGTCCACCCTCAGACCGAACTAGACACCCGAACCTCTTCCCAAAAACCCCAAACGCTACATCCTCACTACCCTAAACCCTGAACCCTAAATCCCAAATAATCCTAAAAGCCTAAAAGCCTAAAAGCCTAAAAGCCTAAAAGCCTAAAAGCCTAAAAGCCTAAACCCTAAACCCTAAATCCTAAACCCTAAACCCTAAATCCTAAACCCCAAACCCTAAACCCTAAGTTCTTTATAGCCCTTAACTTCCCAGAAGCCCCCCCCGCTGCCAACGCGCCAATGCCCAGGAGCCCCAAGCCGCGCCCAAGCGGCGTACCAGGCGCGAGCGCCCGGCCGCGGGCAAGGCCGTCTTTAGGGTTTAGGGTTTAGGGTTTAGGGGTTAGGGTTTAGGGTTTAGGGTTTAAGCTCCTGTTATCATGACTTATCATCATTATTGTGAGGCCGATTATCCTTGTTATTGTTTTCAATGTTGCGGTCGTGATTGTTTTTTCTTATTCTAGCTGCCTAAGAATAAAAACAAACGAAAGCAAATTCTTCCTTAGAAGGGTAGTATATTCTTTGGGGGTGTTTAAGCAAATGGTAGTTTTAATGACCATGTTTATGTGTATGATGATTATTATTACTGAGATTAAGACTTTTATTGCCAATTACTGGTAAGATTTTCTTCTTCTCGTTATCATTGTTATTACTATCACGATGATTTTTGTTAGTGTTCTCCGTTTATCTGCGTCCTGACGAGGGTTATGAGCACGATGATGGTCGTTAGAGGACCGGTTGTTGCCTAAAGTGCGATTGTTCAACCTACGTGTTGCGGCTTTAACGGCTATCTTCTTGCTCGCCTCCTTTTTGCTAGGGTAGGTTTTCGCGTTTGGCAGTTCTTGGGCATTTTGGTTGTCTAAGCTCATTTTCTTGGGTTTGCTGGATGTTGTAGAGCTCGATCGTATCACCCTAAACCCCGAGCCCTAAACCCCAAACCCTACACCCTAAACCCCAAACCCTAAACCCTAAACCCGAAACCCTAAACCCTGAACCCTATCTTCGTTCATGGCCCTGATGCCCTAGCTAAGTCCAAACCTTCCGCGATCCACAGCCTACCCCAGAAGGTTCGATCCCTGATCCCCAACTGGTTTAGGGTTTAGGGTTTAGGGCTTAGGGATTAGGGTTTAGGGTTAGGGTCAACCCCCTCCCAGATTTCAAACAAAAACCTACAAAGCCCTAGAAACCCCAATCCCTAAACCCTAAACCCTAAACCCTAAACCCTAAACCCTAAACCCTAAACCCTAAACCCTAAACCCTAAACCCTCAAGACAAGGCCAAGAGCAAGGCGTCCCCGAAGGCGAAGAAGAAGCCTGCGGCAGCCCGAGGTGCCACCGAAGGGGATTTTCAGGGTTTAGGTATAGGGTTTAGGGTTTAGGGTTTAGGGTTTCTAGGGTATGTAGGGTTTATATTTGGTGTATAGGGTTTATAGGGTTTATAGGGTTCATAGGGTTTTTTTAGGGTTTTTTAAGTTTTTTCAGGGTTTTTTAGGGTTTATAGGGTTTATAGGGTTCATAGGGTTTTTAGGGTTTATAGGGTTTTTAGGGTTTATAGGGTTTTTAGGGTTTATAGGGTTTATAGGGTTTATGGGGTTTATAGGGTTTATAGCGTTGAGGATTTAGGGCTTAGGGTTTGGAGCTTTTGGGGTGGGGGGTTGGGGTTTAAGGGTTCAGGGTGTTTTGGCCTCCGGGGTTTCGTGGGTGTTGTGGGGCTTTCAAGAGCTTTTGTAGGGTTTCAGAGCTTGTTTCAAGACCGCCAAAAGCCAAAACGCATCTCTAACCCCAACACCCTCCCAGCCGAAAAACCCTATGTAACCCTTAACCCCCCCCCCCCCTATCCCCTAAACCCTGAATTGAAGCCCTCAGCCCTAAGCCCTAAACCCTAGCCCTAAACCCTAAACCCTCAAGTCCTAAAAAGCCACAACCCAAACCATGCAGGTGTCCGTGATCCCTCCCCGCCATCGCCGGCGCCGAAGCCGAAGCCGAAGCCGAAGCCGAAGCCGAAGCCGGCTCCTCTGGCGAAGGACGGCCCAGCCGCATGGCGTCAGGGCAGGTTCCCTCTAAATTATGTTTTTTTTTTTTTTTTTTGGGGGGGGGGGGTTATGAAACGCTAGAGCCATATATATATATATATATATACACACATTTTTTCCATTCATTCATTCATTCATTTATTTATTTGTTTATTTGTTTATTTCTGTATTAATATATGTATACATATGTATGTATACATGTATGTGTGTGCACGAGTGCGTCATGCAATCTTTACTTACATTGGCGCTTCATGAATTACAGTTTAGTTTTCATGTTTCAAAGCCACAAAGAAGGGCCCATGGTTCAGACAATTTCTGACATGGGTTTACGGCTTGTTGGCTTTCCCGGGGGGGGGGGTGGGTTCCAGGCTTGGCTTTAGGATGTTGGTTTTAGGATCAGGCTTCCTCTGCAGGATGGCGTCCTTCAAGTGCAGGGTAAACCCCTAAACCCGAAACCCGAAACCAAACCCTAGACCCTGAGTCTTTAAAGCACTATAAGGGTTTAGGGCGTATAACTCCTGGAGTTGCTATGAGCCAGGACTCCCCTCCCAACCCCCCCCCCCCCCCCCCCCCCCCCCAAACCCCAAACCCTAAACCCTAAACCCTAAACCCTTTCGCCACAAGGCGCCAAAAGTGGGAGAAGTGCCCCCCCCCCCCCCCATGGAGACCACAACCTTTCCTAGAGGGGTTTAGGGTTTAGGGTTTAGGGTTTAGGGTTTAGGGTTTAGGAGAGGTCTTAGAGATGACCCCTCTTCATCCAAAACAGGTAAGGTCTTATTCCACACACACACACATATACCACACAGGGGAAAACTAATCATGGGCCGTAGGATCTGCGGCCGTTACACCCTGAACCCTAAACCCTAAACCCTAAACCCTAAAAACCTAAACCCTAAACCCTAAACCCTTAGGCCTTAGGCCTTAAGGCCTTAGGCCTCAGGCCTTACGCCTTAGACCCTAAGCCTTAAACCTACCCTCGCAACCTCGGAGCCCAGGAGCCGGAGCCGGCAGCGGAGGTGAAGGCGGAGCCCGAAGACTCCGAGCTGGACGTCTTCGATCTCCAGAAGCTGCCCCGGTTTTCTAAAGTATTCATTAGGGTTTAGGGTTTAGGGTTTAGGGTTTAGGGTTTAGGGTTTAGGGTTTAGGGTTTAGGGTTTAGGGTTTAGGGTTTAGGGTTTAGGGTTTAGGGTTTGGGGCTGGTTTTGCAAAGTTTTCATTTGGAGGGTGTTTCGGGTTTGGGGTTTAGGGATTGTGGTTTAGGGTTTAGGGTTGGGCTCTTGGGGTTTTGGGGTTTCGGGTTTAGGGTTTAGGGGTTTCGGGTTTTGTGGTTTGGGGTGTGGGGTGTGGGGCAGAGGTTTGGGGATTAAAGTTGGCTTGTAGGCTCTGGGTTTAGGTGTTCGGGCTTGGACTTTCTTTTGGTTGCAAGAGTGGTCCCTTATTCCTTTCGTTCAGGGGTACTGAGTCCCATTGAACCAAGAAGGGTACCCTTTTTACTCATCGCTTTCTCTAGGACCTCTTTGGGCCTTCAGCGTCGCTATTTGAGCCGTACTGTACCGCTACTGCCGCACATGCTTGCAGGACATGGGCATGGACGAACACCGTAGACTCGATTACAGGTCCTTGTGTTTGGATTTCAGGGTGTTTGGGGAGCACGAGGGTGGAGGCCTTCAACCCTGCAAAGAGTTGGCCGCGTTTGGTCCGTTTTTTGTTGTTGTTTTTTTTTGCGAGGCCCTGCAGGAGCAGAAGGAAAAAACTGTTGGTGTAAGGTCTAGAGGTTCATGGTACTTCTTAACCTATTATAGCTGTACGGATAACCCACTTACAGGCCCCTTAAGTGCACAGTCATAAGCACAGTTATACTTGGTTAATAAGTACCATGAACCTGCAAGTATAGGTCCTAAACCCTAAGCTCAACTCATTCCCTGAGGCGGCGGCGACGGCAGAAAGGAGTCAAGAACACGACGGCCTTGTCTGAGAAGGAGAAGGACGGATCCCAGAGTTTCAGGGCTCTAGGCTCTAGGGGTTTTAGGGCTTCAGGGTTTAGGGTGTGCTCTGGAGGTGGCGCGCTGGTAAACACATCGTGGAATGCAGACATGGCCCACCCCAAGACCGCCCAAGAGTTGCTAACAGCGAGTCAGAATTCCAGAGCCAGCCAGAGCCAAGCCGAGCAAAGAAAACAGTTCGCATACGACGCAGCACTTGGGATGCTTGCGACACTTGTGACACCCGGGACAATGGGTCGCTTGGGACGCCACTTGGGATCGGGACACTGGGTCACTTGGGGGGACTCTTTGGTCACCTGATGCCTCTTGGACACTGGGAGCACATGGGACTTGCGATGCTTCTTTTGTTTGTGGGGGCAATTAAAACAAGGTCGCCATGGGCAGGTTTCAGGATTTACTATGCTAGATATCTCAAGGACGAAGACCAAGCTTGGAATTGCGGCTGGCAGGCTCTGCAGCTCCAGCAGCGCCTGCTACTGTAAGGTCTCGGTGAGCACCCGACTGCGCCCGCCAGCCCCAACAGAGACGCGAGGGGCGTCGGGCTGGTTGAGGGGTTGGGGCTAGGTTTTAGGGCTTAGGGCTGTAGAGCTTGGGTTTGCGGTCCATTCCGGCTCTATGGCTTTGGCGCTCCAGAGTGGTGATGTCTAGGGCTGGGTTTTAGGATTTAGGGGTGGACGCGGGCCCAAGCCGTGGAACTTGAGCATGCAGGATTGCTCAAGATTTGGCCTTTCTTTGGAGGGGCTGTAAACCAATTCTGGTACCGAAAGGTTCCTACTTCGTGGCCCTGAGCCAGAACAACGCCCTGAAACCCTACATCTTATAACCCCGAGCTCCCAAACCCCAAGCTCCTAACCCCCTTACACCCTAAGTCTCTAATACCCCCAGACCCGAAAATCTCCCCATTTAATGACCCTAAACCCTAAACCCTAAACCCTAAACCCTAAACCCTTAATTTAAGGGTCTCAGGACGTGGCGCTTCCGGAGGAAGAGCCGAAGCCGAAATCGGAGCGCTGCTCGGCTTCGGGCTGCGTGTTGGGAGGGGTCTAGGTTCGAGGATTCAGGGCCTAGGCGTTCAGGGGTTTAGGGTTTAGGGTTTAGGGTTTAGGGTTTAGGGTTTAGGGTTTAGGATTTCAAGGTTTCGGGTTCAAAGTTGTTGTTTTTTGGAACCTGTGGGTAGTTTCCCTTTATTGGGGTTGACCAGGAGTTGGTGCTAGGTATTTTGTTTATGGGGCTTGAGGTTTCCGGGTTTTGGGGTTTATACTTTAGGATGTTAGGGTTTGAATTTTAGGTTTTTGGGGCCTTTAAGGTGCAGGGCTTAAGACCTTTCTTGGGGCCTTTGGGAATTTGGCGTTTAATGTTTTTGGGTTTAGGATTGGAAAACCCCTAAACTCAAACTAGGACCTCCCCCATCTATACAAATATGAATCAATCTAAGCATATACATACATGTATACACATACATATGCAGAGCAAATAACGAGTTCCGTGCTTACTCCGAGTTGACACTGGGAAACCGAGTCAACCTATAAACCCCTTAAACCCCGAAATCCTCAACCACTCATCATCAGTCCAATCACCAGCCCTGGGATGTTCCCTCTTATACGAACAGTCCTCAATGGGGATGATAGTAGGGGGTACTAGACTCCCCAATTAGGACTGTTAGTATAACGGGGAACCTCCCTAAACCCTGAACCCTAAACCCTAAACCCTAAACCCTAAACCCTAAACCCTAAACCCTAAACCCTAAACCCTAAACCCTAAACCCTAAACCCTAAGCCCTAAGCCCTAAGCCCTAAACCCTAAACCCTAAACCCTAATCCCAACCTAAACCCCTTACCGACACGACACCTTCAGGGCCAGCGGCCGACCTCGCAACGGGGGCCGAGGAGCAATGGCGACACAGATCTCCCCTCATGGCATTCTCTGACCTAGGGTTTAGGGTTTAGGGTTTAGGGTTTAGGGTTTATAGGGTTTAGGATTTAGGGTCTGCCATCTTTGGGTGATTTCGCAGCCTGTTGAGTTTTTGTTGCGTTCTGTTGCCTTAGCAGCGGCCTCCCGCGGGAGCACTGTCGATGGTAAGAGCCGGGCCCTAGACGCTAAGCCCCAAGCCCTAAACCCTAAACCCTAAACCCTAAACCCTAAACCCTAAACCCTAAACCCTAAACCCTAAACCCTAAACCCTAAAACCCTAAACCCTAAACCCTAAAGAGCCCGGAACCCCTATAAGCCCTTAACCTCGAGAGTCCCCTTGCCATGCAGGATCTCAAGGCTCCGGCGGTCCCCAAAAGAAGAGGGCGGCCGAGCAACTGACATGCTTTAGGGTTTCAGGGTTTAGGGTTTAGGGTTTCAGGGTTCAGGGTTTAGGGTTTCAGGGTTTAGGGTTTCAGGGTTCAGGGTTTGGGGTTGAGGGTTTTGGGTTTAGCGATTTGGGCTTAAGGTTTAAAGGAGTTCAGGCTTCCTGAGATGTCAGCCAATCGCGTTTCGTGTTTAGGGTTTCAGGGTTTCGGGGTTTCAGGGTTTCAGGGTTTCAGAGTTTCAGGGTTTCAGGGTTTCAGGGTCTGGGCTCAATTAAGGTTGTGGGTCGCCCTGAAGCGCAACATGTTGCAAAAACCCTGACGCCAACGCCCTTGTGAAGCCGAGGTCCCGCAGCCTAAGCCGATGCACCACAGCCCTACACCCCCGAAACCTGGGGATTAGGGTTTTGGGTGCGGGGCTTCAATGTCAGACCTTAAAACCCAAACCCTGAACCCTAAAGCCTAAAGCCTAAACCCTAAACCCTAAACCCTGAACCCTGAACCCTAAGTCGCAAACCGAAACTCTAGTCAACTCTAACCATACCTCCACCCTGCACCTTAGAGCCCTAAACCTCCACGACGCCAAAGCCTTTCTAAACCCTAACCCCCAAGAACCCACTAAGCCCCCCCAAACCCTACAGGCCTGAACCCCACTACCCTCAACCCCAAACCGCAAGAACCCAAGCAAGCCTACACCATAACGCAGCAGAAAATCTAAACCCTAAAACCTAAACCCTAAACCCTGAACCCTAAACCCTAAACCCTAAACCCTAAACCCTACACCCTCTAAAATCCAAGAACCCCCTAACCCTCCAGTCAGCTCAGGTAAAAAGCTTGAGCCAGAGGCCGTCAGCCCCAGGGACTGAGGTTTGAGGGTAGGGTTTAATGAGGGGTTTAGGGTTTAGGGTTGGGGGCTAGGGTTTGGGGTTTAGGGTTTTGGGTTTTGGGGTTTAGGGTTGAGGGTTTACAGGGTGGAGGAGGGTTTCGGGGTTAGGGTCTTGGAGGTTTCGGGTGTTAAGGGGACAAAGGAGGGACCCATGGAAGGGACCCTTACGCGTATTCCCCTATATGTACCTTAAACCCTAAAGCCTAAACCCTAAACCCTAAACCCTAAACCCTAAACCCTAAACCCTAAACCCTAAACCCTAAACCCTAGAAGAAAGTCCCTATATTACCTATACAACCCCTTAAGGTCCCTTGAGGGGCAGGGTTTCGGGCTCTCGGGGTGTTTCATTGCGAGTGCGTGGAGTGGTTGCTGCAGGGCTATATACGGCTTCATGGTTTTAAGGTGCTTAGGGCCACAATAGAGAACTAGCTCCCTAAACCCTAAGCCCTAAACCCTAAACCCTAAACCCTACAATCCTTAAACTCTCTATACAAAAGCCCCCAAGACCCTGTACCAAGGATGCCCAGTAGTAACCTTATTACTGTTTTTGGGGGGTTTTGGGGGGTTTAGGTTCCCTTATCAACCCCTTGAAACCAAAAAAAAGGCACCCTTTCTAAATCCCAGGTTACTGGGCAACCTAGATACAAGCCTTAAAGAAAGCTTCTCTGACCTCTGCTATTCCTTGCACCCTAAAAGGTCTAGGGTTTAGGGTCTAGGGTTTAGATCGAGAGTCTCAGAAAGGTGGCGCTTCCCGAGGACGCCCCGCAGCCTACATTGAAAGGCTGCTCGGCTTCGGGCTACATTGCTGGGGTCGGAATAATTACCAATTTTATTCCCTTCTGGTTCCTTTGTAATTCTACTAGAATGACCCCAAAAAATCCTGTTCTAATTATTTAGGCCCCTACAGTACGTTTTAATTATTTAGGCCCGTACAGTAGTTGGGGTTTCTGGTAGTTTCAGGTTTTAGTTAGGGTTCAGGATTGAGGGGTTCAGGGGCTTGGTGTCAAGGATTGTTGGGTGTTTAGGCTTCAGGGTTCAGGGCGTAGGCGTTGAGGGGTTTGGAGTTAAGGATTCAAGGGTTTAGGGTTCTCTCTGGGTTCAGAACTTGTCGGTAGTTGTTGCTTTGCTTTGTGGATGAAGAAGAGCTTATGTGGGATTCTCAGAGGGCTCTTCAGCGTCGACCATATAGGTAGGAAGGGCCTTCGGAGCTTTTAGGGTACTATGTTTAGGGCTTGAGGTTAGGGACTCAGGGTTCATACTTGTGGGTTTGAGGCTTGGGGTTTGGGGTTTTGGGTTTAGGGTTTTGGGTTTAAGACCCGGGTTTTGGGGACCTTCAGGGTACAGGGCTCAAGACATTTCTTTGGGCCTTCTGGGCTTGAACTTTGGCGTTTAGCGTTTTGGCGTTCAGGGTTGGGTTTAAGGATCAGGGCCAGCGACTTTAGGTTCAGGGAATATACGGGTTCAGGGTGTAAAAGGCAAAGGCACGGCGAGGTTCAGAGTTTTGGGCGGGAATTGTAGGGGCTTGGCGGCTTTCTGAGGGTCCGGTACTGTCACAGGGGCTCAAACAGAGCACCAGACTTTCGAGAGGGCAAGGGTGTTTGAGAAAAGTCACTAAGTCCCTGATCAGCCCTGCACATGAATCTCTAACCCCCCCCAAATGTACCTTGCTTCCTGACTTTTTTAAAGACTCCTTTGCATGAAAATGCGTAAGTATAGGCATATATCTATGCAAACATGCCGAGCGCAAATCGAGTTCCGTGTTTGCTCCTACTTGACTGCAAAACCTAGGACCTGTAAATCACTTCAACCCCCAAATCCTAACAAGCGCATAAACCCCCAAACAGCCAACCCCAAACCCTCAGCCCCTTCAGGGCCAGCGGCCGTCGCAGCAGGGGCCGAGGAGAAATGGGAAGGGGGGGGGGGGGGGGTGTGGTGGTATTTTAAACCTATTTCGCCGATACTCTCCTTTCGGGGCACAAGTGGGGCTGCACTGCTTAACACTTGGACCCCCAAGCACGTCTGCCCAAGCGCAACAACATCCCCAACCAGGGGTTTAGTGTTCGCAATGAGCAAACTACTGCTATCCAAACCGCACGCCCAACGGCAGGAGCACTAAACCCTAAACCCTAAACCCTAAACCCTAAACCCTAAACCCTAAACCCTAAACCCTAAACCCTAAACCCTAAACCCTAAACCCTAAAGTTAACTTCGCGCAGGCTCGCAAAGCTCCGGGGGCCCCCAAGAGGAAGACTGGGCGGCCGAGTGGCAGCTCGACTGACAGTTGAGGGTTTGGTAGTTTAGGGTTTAGGGTTTAGGGTTTAGGAGAATTTTTTGTTACCAATGCACGAGTTTAATTTGTGTTTATTGCAAGTCAAAACCTGGGTTTTCTCTTTAAGGGTTTTGGGTTAAGGGTTTTAGGGTTTTGGGGGTTTTGGGTTTTAGGCCTTTGGGGGGGTTTAGGGTTTTAGGGCTTTTGCTGGTTTAAGGTTTTAGGGTCTAAAGACTTCAGGGCTGTTGGGCTTTAAGCTGGGATGTCGACTCTGTCAACCGAGGCCCCAAGCAACTAAGCAGGATGCTTTCAAGAAGCACCAGGCCCTCCTAAACCCTAAACCCTAAACCCTAAACCCTAAGCCCTTCTTGGTAGCCCAGTGGTACCCTCCACCCCTTTTTTTGTTTTGGTTCTGGTCTCCCTTATAAAGTTAACCAACCCAGAAAAGGGTGCCCTTGTTACAATATGGTTACTGGGCAACCAAGTCTTTGGTGTTTAGGGCTTGGGGTTTTAGGGCTGAGGGTTTAGGGTTTAGGGTTTAGGGTTTCGATTTTAGGGTTTCGAGTTTCAGGAATGCAGAGTTTTAGGATTTAAGGGCTTAGGGTGTTACTGTTTCAGGGTCTTAGGGTGTTATGGCTTAGGCGCAAAACGCTGCCCGAAACCTTGAATCCAGAGTCCGCCTTAGGGTTTAGGGTTTAGAGTTTAGGGTTTAAGGTTTAGGGTTTAGGGTTTAGGGTTTAGGGTTTAGGGATTAGCCCTAAACCCTAAACCCGAAACCCTAAACCCCAGCCCTGAACTTCCAGGACCCAAAACCTACCTAAACCCCAAGAAGCCCAAAGGAACCCCAAAAAGCCCAATCTCCAACCCCCCTAACGCCCTACACCCTAAGCCCCAAACACCCCAAAACACCCCAAACCCTAACGCCCTCAACCCTCAACCCCAAACCGCAAGAACCCCCAAACCCCCCAAGCCTGCTCCACCTAAACCCTAAACCCTAAACCTAAACCCTAAACCCTAAACCCTAAACCCTAAACCCTAAACCCTAAACCCTAAACCCTAAACCCTAAACCTAAACCCTAAACCCTAAACTTAAAACCCCTCAAGGTAAGAAGCTTGAGGCAGAGGCCAGCAGTTCCAGGGACTGGTTTAAGAGCAGGCTCAGAGGGTTGGAGGCTTCTGGGGGGTTTAGGGTTTAGGGTTTAGGGTTCAGGGTCTAGGGTTCAGAGGGTTTAGAGGGTGTTGGGGGGGTTTAGGGGAGGTCTAGGCTTTAGGGGGTTTGGGGGGGGGGGGGGGGGGGGGGGGGGGGGGGTTAGGGGGTTTAGGTTTTAGGAGGTTTAGCGGGGTTTAGCGGGGTTTAGGGGGGTTTAGGGGTAGGGGGTGTACTCCTAGTTGCTTAAGCGCCACCAAAAAACACCCCTACCATATGTTTATGTTTTATCGTTTTTTGGCGGGGTTCTTAAGCAATTTAGTAGTTCAGGGTTTAGGGTTTGGGGGTTTGGGTTTAGGGCTGCTCTAAACCCGAGAACTCAACATCACGGAGCACCATTCGGTCATTTCCGGTTTACGGGGTTGCGGCCCGCTGGTAGAGGCGGTTCTTTAGGGTTTAGGGTTTAGGGTTTAGGGTTTAGGGTTTAGGGTTCAGGGTTTAGGGTTTAGGGTTTAGGGTTTAGGGTTTAGGGTGTAGGGTTTAGGGTTTAGGGTTTAGGTTTAGGGTTTCGCGTAGAAGTTCGTTGAGTGTGGGATCAATGTGTACCAGTATTTTTTATTTAATGGCTACCGCCAGTGCCGCCGACCCCTCAACCTTATGGATCGTATTACACTCTCCGGGTCCTGTCTTTGCTGGACCGTGGTGTAAGGACACTACACATATATAGGCAAAAGAACCACAACCCGATAGCAAAGAAACAAACCCTAAACCCTAAACTCGAATCCCAACAAAACCTTCGAATCCTTGCCCTGCCACTGACGCCCAGCTGAGAAGCCACATCCATGGGCCGTGGACCATGAGCCATGGGGAGCCATGGGGCCAGGAGCCATGGGTCCATGAGGGGCATGGGTGCGTGAGGGGTAAGGGGTAGGGAGAAGGGGATGGAGAGTGGGAGCATGGGCCAAGGGCGGAGAGCGGAGCGCGGAGCGGGCGGAGCGGGCGGAGGGCCCGGGCATGCACTGGGGCCCTTTAAAGTCAGCTGAGAAGCCACATCCATGGGAGCAAGGGGCCCACGACAAGCACGGGCGGCGGGGCAGGGTGCGTGCGGGGTGGGGGTGGGGGTTGCGGGAGGGGAGTAGGCGGAGCTGGAAGGGCGGAGGGCGGAGCGGGCGGAGCGGGCGGAGCGGGCGGAGGGCCCGGGCATGCACTGGGGCCTTTAAAGTCAGCTGAGAAGCCACATCCATGGGCCGTGGACCATGAGCCAATGGGGCCAGGAGCCATGGGTTCAGTGGGGGGCGGGGTGCGTGGGGGGTGGGGGTGGGGGTTGGAAGTGTGGGTGGGTGGGGTTGGGGGTTGGGGGTGGCAGGGTGCGTACGGTATGGGGGTGGGGGTTAAGGGTTGGGGTGGAGCAGGGGCCATATATAGGACCAGCATTGGCAGCCATGCAGGTCGAGGGATGAAGAATGGGACCAGGAGGCAATGGGGTCAGGAGCCATGGGTCCAGTGGGGGGGCGGGGCGTGGGGGGTGGGGGTGGGGGTTGGAAGTGTGGAAAGGGTGGGGCGGAGGGCGGAGCGGGCGGAGCGGGCGGAGCGGGCGGAGGGCCCGGGCATGCACTGGGGCCCTTTAAAGTCGGCGGAGGGTGGAGCGGGCGGAGCGGGCGGAGGGCCCGGGCATGCGCTGGGGCCCTTTAAAGTCAGCTGAGAAGCCACATCCATGAGCCGTGGAGCATGAGATACCAGCATTGGCAGCCATGCAGGCAGGAGGCAATGGGGCCAGGAGCCATGGGTCCAGTGGGGGGGCGGGGGGGTGGGGGTGGGGGAAGTGTGGAAAGGGTGGGGTGTGTGGGGGTTGGGGGTGGGGGTGGAGCCATGACGCCAGGAGCAAGGGGCCCATGGCAAGCACGGGCGGCAGGGCAGGGTGCGTGCGGGGTGGGGGTGGGGGTTGCGGGTGGGGGTGGAGCAGCTCAAGGGATGAAGAATGGGACCAGGAGCCATGGGTCCATGAAGAGCCATGGGGCCAGGAGGGGAGTAGGCGGAGCTGGAAGGGCGGAGGGCGGAGCGAGCGGCGGAGCGGGCGGAGCGCCCGGGCATGCACTGGGGCCCTTTAAAGTCAGCTGAGAAGCCACATCCATGAGCCGTGGACCATGAGCCCATGCGGCCAGGAGCCATGGGTTCAGTGGGGGGCGGGGTGCGTGGGGGGTGGGGGTAGGGGTTGGAAGTGTGGGTGGGTGGGGGTGGGGGTTGGGGGTTGGGGGTGGCAGGATGCGTACGGTATGGGGGTGGGGGTTGGGGGTTGGGGTGGGGCCATACCAGCATTGGCAGTCATTGCAGGTCGAGGGAAGAAGAATGGGACCAGGAGCCAACGGGGTGCGTGGGGGGTGGGGGGGGGGTGGGGGTGGGGGTTGGAAGTGTGGAAAGGGTGGGATGTGTGGGGGTGGGGGTTGGGGGTGGGGGTGGAGCCATGACGCCAGGAGCAAGGGGCCCATGGGGTAGGGAGCTGGGTCCATGAGGGGTAGGTCAAGGGGATGGAGAGTGGGAGCATGGGCCAGAGGGGAGTAGGCGGAGCTGGAAGGGCGGAGGGCGGAGCGGGCAGAGCAGGCGGAGCGGGCGGAGCGGGCGGAGGGCCCGGGCATGCACTGGGGCCCTTTAAAGTCAGCTGAGAAGCCACATCCATGAGCCGTGGACCATGTGGACCATGAGCCATGGGGAGCCATGGGGCCAGGAGCCATGGGTCCATGCATGGGTGCGTGGGGTAAGGGGTAGGGAGCTGGGTCCATGAGCAGTAGGTCAAGGGGATGGAGAGTGGGAGCATGGGCCAGAGAGGAGTAGTCGGAGCTGGAAGGGCGGAGGGCGGAGCGAGCGGAGCGGGCGGAGCGGGCGGAGCGGGCGGAGGGCCCGGGCATGCACTGGGCCCTTTAAAGTCAGCTGAGAATGGGAGCAAGGGGCCCATGACAAGCACGGTGGGGGTTGCGGGAGGGGAGTTGGCGGAGCTGGAAGGGCGGAGGGCGGAGCGGGCGGAGCGGGCGGAGCGGGCGGAGGGCCCGGGTGCACTGGGGCCCTTTAAAGTCAGCTGAGAAGCCACATCCATGAGCCGTGGACCATGAGCCAATGGGCCAGGAGCCATGGGTTCAGTGGGGAGGGGGGGGGTGGAGCAGGGGCCATTTATAGGACCAGCATTGGCAGCCTGCAGGTCGAGGGATGAAGAATGGGACCAGGAGGCAATGGGGCCAGGAGCCATGGGGTGGGGGTTGGAAGTGTGGAAAGGGTGGGGTGTGTGGGGGTTGGGGGTGGGGGTGGAGCCATGACGCCAGGAGCAAGGGGCCCATGACAAGCACGGGCGAGCGGGCGGAGCAGGCGGAGTGCCCGGGCATGCACTGGGGCCCTTAGTCAGCTGAGAAGCCACATCCATGAGCCGTGGACCATGAGCCCATGCGGCCAGGAGCCATGGGTTCAGTGGGGGGCGGGGTGCGTGGGGGGTGGGGGGGGGTTGGAAGTGTGCGTGGGTGGGGGTGGGGGTTGGGGGTTGGGGGTGGCAGGGTGTGTCCGGTCTGGGGGTGGGGGTTGGGGGTTGGGGTGGGGCCAGAAAAAAGGCCAGCATTGGCAGCCATGCAGGTCGAGGGAAGAAGAATGGGACCAGGAGGCAATGGGGCCAGAGGTGGAAAGGGTGGGATGTGTGGGGGTGGGGGTTGGGGGTGGAGCCATGACGCCAGGAGCAAGGGGCCCATGGGGTAGGGAGCTGGGTCCATGAGGGGGAGGTCAAGGGGATGGAGAGTGGGAGCATGGGCCAGAGGGGAGTAGGCGGAGCTGGAAGGGCGGAGGGCGGAGCGGGCGGAGCGGGCGGAGCGGGCGGAGCGGGCGGAGCGGGCGGAGCGGGCGGAGGGCCCGGGCATGCACTGGGGCCCTTTAAAGTCAGCTTAGAAGCCACATCCATGAGCCGTGGACCATGTGGACCATGAGCCATGGGGAATCATGGGGCCAGGAGCCATGGGTCCATGAGGGGCATGGGTGCGTGAGGGGTAAGGGGTAGGGAGCCGGGTCCATGAGGGGTAGGTCAAGGGGATGGAGATGGAGGGGCCAGAGAGGAGTAGTCGGAGCTGGAAGGGCGGAGGGCGGAGCGAGCGGAGTGGGCGGAGCGGGCGGAGGGCCCGGGCATGCACTGGGGCCCGTCAGCTGAGAAGCCACATCCATGGGAGCAAGGGGCCCATGACAAGCACGGGCGGCGGGGCAGGGTGCGTGCGGGGTGGGTGTGGGTTGCGGGAGGGGAGTATAGGCGGAGCTGGAAGGGCGGAGGGCGGAGTGGGCGGAGCGGGCGGAGCGGGCGGAGGGCCCGGCATGCACTGGGGCCCTTCAAAGTGGACCATGAGCCAATGGGGCCAGGAGTCATGGGTTGAGTGGGGAGGGGGGGGGTGGAATGGGACCAAAAACAAAGGGGCCAAGGAGCAAGGGGCCTATGACAAGCACGGGCGGCAGGGCAGGGTGCGTGCGGGGTGGGGGTGGGGGTTGCGGGTGGGGGTGGAGCAGCTCAGGGATGAAGAATGGGACCAGGAGCCATGGGTCCATGAGGATGGAGAGTGGGAGCATGGGCCAGAGGGGAGTAGGCGGAGCTGGAAGGGCGGAGGGCGGAGCGAGCGGAGCGCGGAGCGGAGCGGGCGGAGGGCGCGGGCATGCACTGGGGCCCTTTAAAGTCAGCTGAGAAGCCACATCCATGAGCTGTGGACCATGAGCCCATGCGGCCAGGAGCCATGGGTTCAGTGGGGGGCGGGGTGCGTGGGGGGTGGGGGTGGGGGTTGGAAGTGTGCGTGGGTGGGGGTGGGGGTTGGGGGTTGGGGGTGGCAGGGTGGGGTGCAGCAGGGGCCAGAAAAAGGACCAGCATTGGCAGCCATGCAGGTCGAGGGAAGAAGAATGGGACCAGGAGCCAATGGGGCCAGGAGGCATGGGTCCAGTGGGGAGGCGGGGTGCGTGGGGGGGGGGGTGGGGGTGGGGGTTGGAAGTGTGGAAAGGGTGGGAGGCTGGGGGTTGGGGGTGGGGGTGGACGCCAGGAGCAAGGGGCCCATGGGGTAGGGAGCTGGGTCCATGAGGGGTAGGTCAAGGGGATGGAGAGTGGGAGCATGGGCCAGAGGGGAGTAGGCGGAGCTGGAAGCGGAGGGCGGAGCGGGCGGAGCGGGCGGAGCGGGCGGAGCGGGCGGAGGGCCCGGGCATGCACTGGGGCCCTTTAAAGTCAGCATCCATGAGCCGTGGACCATGTGGACCATGAGCCATGGGGAGCCATGGGGCCAGGAGCCATGGGTCCATAAGGGGCATGGGTGAGGGGTAAGGGGTAGGAAGCTGGGTCCATGAGGGGTAGGTCAAGGGGATGGAGAGTGGGAGCATGGGCCAGAGGGGAGGCGGAGCTGGAAGGGCGGAGGGCGGAGCGAGCGGAGCGGGCGGAGCGAGCGAGCCCGGCAGGGCCCGGGCATGCACTGGGGTCCTTAGCTGAGAAGCCACATCCATGGGAGCAAGGGGCCCATGACAAGCACGGGGGGCAGGCCCGGGTGCGTGCGGGGTGGGGGTGGGGGTTGCGGGAGGGGGAGCGGGCGGAGCGCGGGCGGAGGGCCCGGGCATGCACTGGGGCCCTTTAAAGTCAGCTGAGAAGCCACATCCATGAGCCGTGGGACCTGGGGCCAGGAGCATATATAGGACCAGCATTGGCAGCCATGCAGGTCGAGGGGACCAGGAGGCAATGGGGCCAGGAGCCATGGGTCCAGTGGGGGGGCGGGGGGGTGGGGGTGGGGTGGGGTTGGGGGTGGGGGTGGAGCCATGACGCCAGGAGCAAGGGGCCCATGACAACACGGGCAGCAGGGCAGGGTGCGGGTGGGAGCAGCTCAAGGGATGAAGAATGGGACCAGGAGTCATGGGTCCATTGGGGCCAGGAGCCATGGTTCATGAGGGGTAGGTCAAGGGGATGGAGAGTGGGAGCATGGGCCAGAGGGGAGTAGGCGGAGCTGGAAGGGCGGAGGGCGGAGCGAGCGGAGCGGGCGGAGCGGGCGGAGGGCCCGAGCATGCACGGGGCCCTTTAAAGTCAGCTGAGAAGCCACATCCATGAGCCGTGGACCATGGCCCATGCGGCCAGGAGCCATGGGGGGCGGGGTGCGTGGGGGGTGGGGGTGGGGGTTGGAAGTGTGCGTGGGTGGGGGTGGAGGGTGCGTACGGTATGGGGGTGGGGGTTGGGGGTTGGGGTGGAGCAGGGGCCATAAAAAGGGGCAGGGTGCGTGCGGGGTGGGGGTGGAAGGGCGGAGGGCGGAGCGGGCGGAGCGGGCGGAGCGGGCGGAGCGGGCGGAGGGCCCGGGCATGCACTGGGGCCCTTTAAAGTCAGCTGATGAGCCGTGGACCATGAGCCAATGGGGCCAGGAGCCATGGGTTCAGTGGGGAGGGGGGGGGGGGAGCAGGGGCATATATAGGACCAGCATTGGCAGCCAGCACATCGAAGGCTGGGACCAGGAACCAATGGGGCTAGGAGCCATGGGTCCAGTGGGGTGGGGGTGGGGGTTGGAAAGGGTGGGGTGTGTGGGGGTTGGGGGTGGGGGTGGAGCCATGACGCCAGGAGGGGTGGGGGTGGGGGTTGCGGGTGGGGGTGGAGCAGCTCAAGGGATGAAGAATGGGACCAGGAGCCATGGGTCCATGAAGAGCCATGGGGCCAGGAGCCATGGTTCATGAGGGGTAGGTAAGGGGATGGAGAGTGGGAGCATGGGGCAGAGGGGAGTAGGCGGAGCTGGAAGGGCGGAGGGCGGAGGGAGCGGAGTGGGCGGAGCGGGCGGAGCGGGCGGAGGGCCGGGCATGCACTGGAGCCCTTTAAAGTCAGCTGAGAAGCCACATCCATGAGCCGTGGACCATGAGCCCATGCGGCCAGGAGCCATGGGTTCAGTGGGGGGCGGGGTGCGTGGGGGGTGGGGGTGGGGGTTGGGGGTTGGGGGTTGGGGGTTGGGGGTTGGGGGTGGCAGGGTGTGTACGGTATGGGGGTGGGGGTTGGGGGTTGGGATGGAGCAGGGGCCATATATAGGACCAGCATTGGCAGCCATGCAGGTCGAGGGAAGAAGAATGGGACCAGGAGCGGTTGGAAGTGTGGAAAGGGTGGGATGTGTGGGGGTGGGGGTTGGGGTGGAGCCATGACGCCAGGAGCAGGGGCCCATGGGTCCATGAGGGGTAGGTCAAGGGGATGGAGAGTGGGAGGATGGGCCAGAGGGGAGTAGGCGGAGCTGGAAGGGCGGAGGGCGGAGCGGGCGGAGCGGGCAGGCGGAGCGGGCGGAGCGGGCGGAGGGCCCGGGCATGCACTGGGGCCCTTTAAAGTCAGCTGAGAAGCCACATCCATGAGCCGTGGACCATGTGGACCATGAGCCATGGGGAGCCATGGGGCCAGGAGCCATGGGTCCATGAGGGGTGAGGGGTAAGGGGTAGGGAGCTGATTCCATGAGGGGTAGGTCAAGGGCATGGAGAGTGGGAGCATGGGCCAGAGGGGAGTAGGCGGAGCTGGAAGGGCGGAGAGCGGAGCGGGCGGAGCGGGCGCATGACAAGCACGGGCGGCACTGGGGCCCTTTAAAGTCAGCTGAGAAGCCACATCCATGAGCCGTGGACCATGAGCCAATGGCGCCAGGAGCCATGGGTTCAGTGGGGGAGGGGGGGGGTGGAGCAGGGGCCATTTATTGGCAGCCATGCAGGTCGAGGGATGAAGAATGGGACCAGGAAGCAATGGGGCCAGGAGCCATGGGTCCAGTGGGGGGGCGGGGGGGTGGGGGTGGGGGTTGGAAGTGTGGAAAGGGTGGGGTGTGTGGGGGTTGGGGGTGGGGGTGGAGCCATGACGCCAGGAGCAAGGGGCCCATGACAAGCACGGGCGGCAGGGCAGGGTGCGTGCGGGGTGGGGGTGGGGGTTGCGGGTGGGGGTGGAGCAGCTAGAATGAGAATGGGAGCCAGGGGTCCATGAAGAGCCATGGGGCCAGGAGCCATGGTTCATGAGGGGTAGGTCAAGGGGATGGAGAGTGGGAGCATGGGCCAGAGGGGAGTAGGCGGAGCTGGAAGGGCGGAGGGCGGAGCGAGCGGAGCGGCGGAGCGGGCGGAGGGCCCCGGCCATGCACTGGGGCCCTTTACAGTCAGCTGAGAAGCCACATCCATGAGCCGTGGACCATGAGCCCATGCGGCCAGGAGCCATGGGTTCAGTGGGGGGCGGGGTGCGTGGGGGGTGGGGGTGGGGGTTGGAAGTGTGCGTGGGTGGGGGTGGGGGTTGGGGGTTGGGGGTGGCAGGGTGCGTGCGGTATGGGGGTGGGGGTTGGGGGTTGGGGTGGAGCAGGGGCCATATGTAGGACCAGCATTGGCAGCCATGCAGGTCGAGGGAAGAAGAATGGGAGCCATGACGCCAGGAGCAAGGGGCCCATGGGGTAGGGAGCTGGGTCCATGAGGGGTAGGTCAAGGGGATGGAGAGTGGGAGCATGGGCCAGAGGGGAGTAGGCGGAGCTGGAAGGGCGGAGGGCGGAGCGCGGAGCGGGCGGAGCGGGCGGAGGGCCGGGCATGCACTGGGGCCCTTTAAAGTCAGCTGAGAAGCCACATCCATGAGCCGTGGACCATGAGCCAATGCGGCCAGGAGCCATGCGTTCAGTGGGGGGCGGTGCGTGCGGGGTGGGGAGAGAGCGGCAAGACTATGGGTCTTCACTAGCGCCTCCCCCGCTCTCCAGCTGGGGTCGGCGGATATACACGTGTATGTGTGTACATATATATATATATATATAGATGTACACACATCTGTTTTCTTTATTTGGCATTTGTTGTATTGATATTTGTATTCATATGTTTTATATCTATTTTGTATGCCTCTCATTTATGCCAAATCTCGCCTAGGTACGTCTAACTATATCAGGCGGGCAGAAGGCATCTTGCTAGGAAACTCCCTAGACTCTAAGCACTTCTTGTGGGTCGCTAGGGTTTGTGGTTTCGGCTAAACCCTAAACCCTAAACCCTAAACCTCAAACTTATGGCCTCAAGGGCCCCCAACATCCCATCATGGAGTTCAATGTGCCGACTGAAAGGCTGACCACATTCTGAAGATTTTTTTCTGGGGATGTTCCCCCTTAAACTAACGGTCCTTCATAGGGATGGTTTAGGGTTTAGGGTTTAGGGTTTAGGGTTATAGGGGGTACTATAAAAAGCCCTATGAAGGACTGTTCGTATAAGGGGGAACATCCCGAAATCCTCCATTTCATTGGGTGTCCCATGCACAAGGGTCCTTCATCCCAGAGACCGCAGACCCGAGCCGAAATCTTGGCTTGCAACCCTTCTGGTTTAGGGTTTAGGGTTTAGGGTTTCGGGGGGCTTTTTTGGTCGATTGGTTCAGGGGCTCAGGGATTGAGTTTCGAGGCTCAGGATTTGGGGTTTCAAAGGGTTGTTGGCCAGGCCACCGACCTCGAGTGCTGTCGCCTGGTCGCGTGGGAAGCCTCCGATACACTTGGTTTTAGGGTTGAGATTTGGGATGTTCCCCTTATACTTACAGTCCTTAATAGGGATTGTAATTGGGGGTACTGTACTCCTTATTAAGGGCTGTGAGTATGAGGGGGAGCATCCCAAGTTGAGATCAGGGAGGGTTTCCGGAGCTCGGGCAGAATGTGGACAGGCCGACCTATGGTTCTTCGTTCCTGAGAGTAGACTTTAAAGCATTGGGCTTGTCAATCTGATGCGCCAGGTTGTTCGACATAAACAACGCACCTCGTATGCCCTAATTGACACCCCAAGCTTTCAGGGTTCATGAGCATTGACTGCTACAATGGAGAGACCCCCCAAAAGAGTTCATAATTTAGATGCCCCCTCATCCGCCAAACAACTTCCCCAACATCTGGGTAAGTTTTGTTTTGACAAAATTTGGAAATTCCTCCACGCTATCGCAGCGCCCCAACACAGAATTGTCATTCTACGATATATACTGCCTGACTGAGCCCTGAACTAAACTCCAAACCCGACACCCTGGACCAAGCTCTATTCTATACCCTAAACCCGCCTAAACCCCAAACCCTAAACCCTAAGCTTAGATACATCTCGCAGAAGTGTTGCAGATAGAAGGAACGCCACAATGGGCCTTAGAAGGCGATCCTGTGCCGGTTTAGTGTTTAGGGTTTAGTGTTTAGGGCCTAAACCCTAAGCCCGGATTTTGTTTCGGGGGTTTCGGAATCGGCTTGGCTTGCATACAAAAGTCAAGACTCAAGCTTACAACCCCCGCCCCCCTTCCGAAGCCCCAAATCACGTAGCTAAACCCTCAACCCTCAACCCTCAACCCTCAACCCTAAACCCTAAACCCTGAACCCTAAACTAGGGCTTATGGGACTTGTGGAGAGTTCATGTAGGGCATAGTCGGGTTTATGGGGTTCACAGGGGTAGGAGGAGGGGCCCCTAGAAGGGACCCTTAATCTTATTCTCCTAAACAACATATATATATATATATAGATACATACCATATATAGTCTCTACATACCTAAGTAGCCCCCAAATAACCCCAAAAGAGCCCCGAACGTCCCTTATAAGGGGGGGTCTCCTTCTGTCCCTTGATAGTTAGAGCTCGTAGGGTACCCTAAGCCCTGAACCCCACACCCTAAACCCAAAGCCCTAAGCCCTAAGCCCTAAACCCTAAGCCCTAAGCCCTAAGCCCTAAGCCCTAAGCCCTAAGCCCGGAACCCCAAACCGGCCCTGCTCGACATGTCGCAAGGCTACGTGTGCTTCGGCCCGCGGCGCCCGGATGCGGCCTGTTCTGCAGTCGCGGGTTAGGGGGTGTAGGGTTTAGGGTTTAGGGTTTAGGGTTCAGGGTAGTTGGGTAGTTGGGTAGTTGGGTAGTTGGGTTTTGGGGTTTAGGTAGCTGGCAGGGATGAGGGTTTAGGGCTTGAGGGCAACTACAGGGTTCAATTCGGGCTCAGGTAGGGTTTGGTTGTTTTGGGCAAATTCGGTTTCAGGAGAGGTTGGGAAATTCGGCTAAGAGCTTAGGTAGTTCGGGTTTAAGGTGTCGGTATCTCTATCAGCCAAGACGCAATCCCTGCCCAAGGCGGCACGATGCGGCGCCTGTGGGGGAAGCACTTGCGACAAGTGCCAAGAGGACCAGCGACCGGAGATGGGGGACTCAATTCACCCCCTTGGGAATTCTTTTTTGTTCATATAAAACCCAAGAGGATATTTAAAAAAAGTATGTTTATTAAGGTTCTAAGGGGAATTTAAAATTCTAGGGTCATTCAGGATTACTTGCCAGGCTTGAGAGTGCAGATGTTCATGAACCATCTCGAGTTTGGTGAGGTTGGGGTGTAGCTTTTGAGTTCTGGTCTATCTAGGGATTGGGCTTTCTATTATGCAATCTTTATGAACCCTGAGCCCCAAACCCTAAACCCTAAACACTCTACGATTGCTGATCTGGCCAGGGATCTCTTTAAGGGCAAGGTACCCCGCGGCGTCGCCGTCGCATGCGGGGAGCATTTTGTTTTGGGCTGGCCTCGTGCTAGACCCACACCCGAAACCCTGAACCCTAAACCCCAAACCCCAAACACCCTAAACCCCAAACCCTAAACCCTAAACCCTAAAAATAAGCCCTAAACCCTCTACATCCTCTAAACCCCAAACCCTGACCCCAAACCCTAAACCCTAAACCCCAAACCCCAAATTCTGAACGCTGCCAAACCAGTGGAGGAGCTGGAGCAGAGCCCGGTGAAGCGGAGGCCCCCAGGCTGTGAAATATGCTTCAAGAGGGATTCCTGCTCACAGAATTCCTGGAGGATTGAAGGACGGTTTAGGGTTTAGGGTTTAGGGTTTAGGGTTTAGGGCTTCGGGCTTCGGAGGGATGGTCCGGTGTTTAGGAGATCTAGAGCTCACGTATCAAATGAGAAAGGATGTACCCCTAAGAGGTTCTCTTACGGGTTTAGGGTTTAGGGTTTAGGGTTTAGGGTTTAGGGTTTAGGGTTTAGGGTTTAGGGTTTAGGGTTTAGGTTTAGGGTTTAGGGTTGTACCCCTAACTGCACTCCGAACATGGCCCATAAGGTTCTGCCGGTGGTGCGGGCACAAAGACAACCAAGCAGTGGAAGAGCAAAAGGATCCCACGCTGGTGCTGCCCCTTGGGCCAGACCAAACCAGACCCCCCCCCCCTGGGAGGATCCAAAAAATGGATCCCCTCAAGGGCTTAGGGTTTAGGGTTTAGGGTGGATCCCCCTTAAGGGTTCCGAAGAATGGCCCAATAGTAGTATGGGGTAGGATTTGGGCGGTTCTAGTTTTTGGATCCTCCAAGGGGGCCTGGGAAGTTGCGGAGTTTGGGGGGGCCTTATAGGTTTTCGGGCTTAAAGGGTTGGGGTTTGTGAGGTTTAGGTTTCGGGTTTATGGGGTTTAGGGTTTGTAAGATTTAGGGTTGATAGGGGTGATAGGGCCCTAAACCCTAAACCCTAGACCCTAAACCCTAAACCCCTAAACCACTAAACCCCTGGAGGCAGTATGCCGGGTGTACGATGTTGGGGGTTATAGGCTGCAGCAGCTCTCGATGCAAGTGGTCCGGGGTGTCGATATGTTGGCGCCTCTTGGGATCCTTTAGGGTATCGGGTTTAGGGTTTAGGGTTTTGAGTTTGGAGATGCTTGTTCTCAGGGACGTTTGGAGTTTGGGTACCGTTAGCCGAAACCCTAAACCCTAACCCTATCACGCTTGGGGTCCTGTTGCCGTGTCGTATGCTATCGTGTGCTTGCTGCTTGCGAGGCACCAGAACGCATGCATTGCGAAATAGGCCCCACGCAGCTCGCTCGCTCGCGCGCGCGGGCGCGCGCTCTCGCGGGCGCGCGCACTCAGACGCAGTCCGTAAAACTTGCAAGCCCCGCACCGCAAAGCCCCCAGACAATTTGAGTTCAGGTGTTCTATCTTTGTGGACAACCGCAGACACGCCTCAACCCTAAACCCCACACCCTCTAGGGTTCACAGAAGGGCTTGTAGGGAATTTTGGTTTTGGGGTTTGGGGCTTTAGGGTTCACAGAAGGGCTTGTGGGTTTTTTGGGTTTTGGGGGGCTTGGGGTTTTAGGGTTCACAGAGGGGCTTGTGGGCTTTTTGTGGGCTTGGGGTTTTAGGGCTTTCGGGTTCACAGAGGGGCTTTTGGCTTTTATTTTTCAGGGAGCTTGGGGGTTTTAGGGTTCACAGATGGGCTTGTGGTTTTTTTTGGTTTTGGGGGCTTAGGGTTTTTAGGGCTTTAGGGTTCACAGAAGGGTTCGTGGGGGTTTTTGGGTTTTGGGGGCTTGGGGTTTAGGGTTTTAGGGTTTACAGGTTTTGGGTGTTGGGACGTTAGGGTTTATTTAGGCTTTCGGCTTTAGCTAGCAGAGTAAGGATCATTTGGCCACTCCCCCCTTTCCCCCCCCCCCCCCCCAAAGTAAACACAAATCCCCTAGTCGTGGGGTGCGTACTTGGGGGCTGGCACACCGCCCAACCCTCCGAATGAAGCCCTAAACCCTACAGCTGCACTAGAAGAGTTGACAAACCCTGACCCGTTATGTAGCGCGTTGTTGCACAGAGGTTGTTCAGGAAGCCCCGAACAAAGCCCCCAACCGCAAGGTATGACCACATGAATGAGACAGAAGGATGGCAGAATCAGGTGCGGCACCTGTCATTGGCAGAATTCTTGTCGGGCCCGCCTCTGAAGATTTACGGGTTCAGAGCTTAGGGTCCCTAAGCCCTAAACCCTAAACCCGAAACCCTAAACAGCATTTAGGCTTTGCCCTTAAGCCTACCCTGGATTGTCGTTTGTATTCGGGGGGGGATGCGATGGGGCATGTGAGTGGTCGAACTGACTACGCCGAGTACTGACTTCCGCTTCCTTTCGGTACCAGTAGAGATTTCAAGGAAAAGGAATGGATGATCGAGGTCTCATGGACTCACGTGTTCTATTGTTCGGTTCACACGTTTTATGCTCTGGAAATTTCTCTCTTATCCGTGGCTTGTGGTTACATTACATCTTGTATTTGTTGTAGTCACACGCCTGCAATACTAAGAGAGAGAGAGAGAGAGAGAGAGAGAGAGAGAGAGAGAGAGAGAGAGAGGGAGGGAGAGTGAGGTAGGGAGGGAGGGAGGGAGGGAGGGAGGGAGGGAGCGAGAGAGAGGGAGGGAGAGAGGGAGGGAGGAGGGGAGGAGGGAGAGAGAGAGAGAGAGAAAAAAAAAAAAATGAAAGAAGGAAAATACGGGCGTCATTGCCACATTTTCTTTTTGCTGGTTTGATTCTATTCTCTGTTCCTGGTAATTTTAATCACATTTTATGGCGTTTGCACGGTTTTTTTCATGAATGACTCAGTCTTTTTTCGTTGTTTTTTTATAACAGTAACCGGCTGTTGCATGAGTTTCAGTATTACATGTAGCACCAGATCAGTTTTTTTGCTCTGTATCATGTTGTCCGTTTGGGAAGAGCAGTTCTCTCATCCTCAAAAACCGCAGAGGGCCTTTGATCGCTTGATAAGCAGATCCTGTAGGGATGTTCCGCCTTATACTAACAGTCCATAATAGGGATTCTAGTACCCCCTATGACCATCCCTAATAAGGACTGTCAGTATAATGGGGAAACATCCCAAAACTTCCTTTCTGCTTCCCAAACGGAGCGCGTACACCACAGTTTCGAGGTTCCCTCTATGTCAGGTACCCGTCTCATCCTCCTCCTCCTCCCTCCTCCTCCTCCTCCTCCTCCTCCTGCTCCTCTTCCTGCGCCCCTACACCCTAAAAACCCCTCTAAACCCCAAACCCTAAACTCTAGAATTACCTTATGCTATCTACCCTAAGAACGGTTAGGGGTGCGAGGCGCGACTTCGGAGCCAAAGCAGCCTCAACCCTCAACCCTAAACCCTAAACCCTAAACCCTAAGCCCTAAACCGCACCACGAGAACAGGTGGAAGTGGCGAGATTCCGATACCTACTCAAGCTGCACCTTGGGAGGGAGACCCTAATCCCTAAACCCTAAACCCTAAACCCTAAACCCTAAACCCTAAACCCTAAACCCTAAACCCTAAACCCTAAACCCTAAACCCTACCTGGAGCCTTCAAATGACGTGAAAAAACAGCCTTTCCATGAAAACAGCCTTTTTCAAGACATGGACCCAAAAACAGCCCGCAAGGCGGAATTTGGCTAGGCAGCCGACAAAAAGGCTACTTTGAAATTTGTGACGGTGTTCAACTCGAGGACCTTCCATTTCTACGTTTTCTGCGGATTCTTGCTTGTTGAAGAAACGGAAGCCTGAAGCCACAAGCAGGAACCCTGAATTTGCAAATTCAAACGACACGCAAACCTGAAGCCAAGCCTGAAGGAAAAGGCGGAAATGGCCGGAAAAAAGGCGGAATTTGCCGGAAAAAAGGCGGAATTTGCCGGAGTTCAGTTCTTGTCTCGCTGAAACAGTTGAGAACCCTGACCTGTAGCTCACATTGTCACGACATCAGAAGCAAACCTCTGGTCGACACGCGCTATGCAGAAGGAACCCTGAAGCATTTTGTCGCTTTGCATTTGGGTGCGCGCGCCCTCGCCAGGAAAAAGGCTGTTTTTGTTTGTCATGGCTGTTTTGTTCAAAAACGCTTGTTTTGGAGCATCTTGGCTGTTTTTGGTGCAAATTTGGCTTGTGGCCCATTTTTTCGCGTACGCAGAAGGTCCAGGTAAACCCTAAACCCTAACCCTAAACCCTAAACCCTAAACCCTAAACCCTAAACCCTAAACCCTAAACCCTAAACCCTAAACCCTAAACCCTAAACCCTTCTTCCTGCCTTAGACTTCTGCGGCTTCTGGACTTGAGGGTTTCGGGCGGTTTCGTCAGGTTTAGGGCTTCCAGATCAGCCTCCTCGCCTACAGGGTTCAGGGTTCAGGGTTTAGGGTTTAGGGTTTAGGGTCTAGGGTTTAGGGTTGAAGGTTCAGGGGTTAAGGGCTTTCCAGGGTCTGGGGCTTCGAACTCTACCTCTCCCATTAGGGTTTAGGGCTTAGGGCTTTGGTATTTCATGGGCTAGGGTTTCTGACCCAGGCTTCTTATCTTTTCGGCATCGTTTTGCGGCATTTCAATTTTGAGGGCCTTTTTTTGTTGTTTCCTTCTGGGGGCTTGTAGGGCTTGTTGAGGGTTCATGGTTCCTTAGTCAAACTCTCCGCGGTTGGGGTCTTTCGAGCCTAGTGCATTTGCCTGCTTAGACTTTTCAAGAGTGCGAGTGTAGCGGTGCAGATGCTTTCGGGTTTAGGGTTTGGAGTTTTTTGGGTTTAGGGGAACTGAGAGGGCTATGTGCAGGGCAACTGAGGCAGAAGCAATCGCTGAAGCACCAGCTGAGGTGGAAGACGCTCGCCACGCATCATCTGCAGCCCAAATCCCTAAACCCTAAACCCTAAACCCTAAACCCTAAACTCTAAACCCTAAACCCTAAACCCTAAACCCACCCATGCACAGGAACCCTAAGACCCTAAAAACATCCTAAAACCCTAAGGCCTTAAAACATCCTAAAACCCTAAGACCCTGAACCGTCCTAGACCTTAAACCCCAAGCCCTCAAAACCCTAAACCCTAAACCCTAAACCCCTAAGCCCTAAACCCCTAAACCCTAAACCCTAAACCCTACACCCCTCAACCCGCGAGGCACAAGGTGCCGATGACCGAACTCCAGTCCCTCAGTAGCAAGCGCGACCATCTGGCTCTCCTGGTGCAGAAGGCGGGTTCTGGCTTTTGGCTTAGGGTTCTGGCTTGGGTTTGCAGGTTAGGGTTTAGGGTTTAGGGTTTCGGGTTTAGGGTTTAGGGTTTAGGGTTTAGGGTTGAGGAGTTTGCATGTTTAGGGTCTTCGGGGCCTTAAACCCTAAAGCCACTCCGAAGCTCCAAAGGCCTTCCACGCGGTTTAGGGTTTAGGGTTTGGGGTAGGGCAGTTTAGGGAATTTGTGGGGTTTCTGGCGTCAGCTCATTCTTCCCGCTCTTCCGCATTCCCCCTCTATGTGAAAGGGTTGGGTTTAGAGTTCAGGGTTCAGGGTTCAGGGTTCAGGGTTCAGGGTTCAGGGTTCAGGAACCCACTTCAAAAGGCCCCTAATGCCCGAAACCCCAATCCGACATGGGGGTTTCCGATTTTAGAGATACCCTGTTTAAAGGGGATCCTACTCTACTTGGGGGTAGCAAGGGGTACCCCGATTATAGGAAGCCCCCCCATATATGATCTTTCAGGCCTCTGATCTAAAGACCAAGGCCCCGTGGCCCTCCAAGAACGCCGCGGAGAGCCCAACTCGTCTAGGGTTTAGTTGTTTAGGGTTTCGGTTTAGGGTTTAGGGTTTAGGGTGTTGGGAGTTGGGTGTTGGCTGTTAGGGTGTAGGGTTTGGGGTTTAGGGAAGCCCGGCCAAAAAACCGCCCCATAGACCTGCCGCGTGCATCCCTGCCACAGGAGTTCAACCTGGACGGCTGAGCCGCTCACGAAGCCACACGCCGTGAGACCCCTAAACCCTAAGCCCCAAACCCTCAGGGTTTGTGGGGCGATTGGGGCTTTTAGGGTGTTCAGGTTTTTTTTTCGGGTTTTAATTGATTTTTTGGGGGCTTCTGGGTTGAGCTCGCAACGTGCACCCCGAAGACCGAGCATTTGGCTTTCAACCCCGCACTACCCATGCTTTGTTCTTTTGCTTCAAAAACCCTACGCCCAAAGCCCAAAGCTTTCATGTATGGGGGGACATGATGAGCCGTGTGCCCTTAATTGAACCCCTGAACCCCAAGCCCTATCCAAGAATCAGTTCAATGAAGCTGATGCCAAGCACCAGATCCTTGAGCTCAGGTCCTCTTCATCCCGCCACAGAGGCAGAGCTCCGACGGCCACCGAGATGTCTGAGGATCCGACCCTTTTTCGCCTTGGCCGAGATGGTGCGCGCTAGGTCCTCCGAAAAGCGAAGATGCACTGGACTGCCTGGTTGGCCTTGAGGTGTTTCGCGAGCCCTGGTGGACGGCCGAAACGGCAACTCTTTGGATTCTGGTCCCTTTTTGGGGGGAAGTTCCTGATACGCCAGTTGCCAGACGCAAGGCCGTGATACAGCAAAGGCGCCCAAAAATCGGCCTCGTGATGTAAGGAAGCGACCTGGTGAGCTGCAAGAATTTGGAGCGCCAGCGGCATCGCGTGCGCAATGCTTGCGTGCACGATGCTGCGAGGCCTCAGCGCCGGTAGTTGCGCCTCTGGACCCTCAAAGGACCCGAAGCCCAAAGCCCAGATGATGTCGCTATCATCCTCATCAAACTTTACAAAACCCGAAATCCTAAACCCTAAACCCTAAATTCCTGCTACTATGCCACTGTCATCTGAGAGAGAACCCCTAAACCCCTAAACCCCTAAACCCCTAAACCCCTAAACCCCTAAACCCCTAAACCCCTAAACCCCTAAACCCCTAAACCCCTAAACCCCTAAACCCCTAAACCCCTAAACCCCTAAACCCCTAAACCCCTAAACCCCTAAACCCCTAACCCTAAACCCCTAAACCCTAAACCCAACCAGTTTGAGGGTCGGAGTGCAGTGGGCAGAGTCGACTGGCCGGGCCCATCGGTGTGCCGGAATCGTGCCCAGAGCCGACGATGCCTTTTAGCGTTTAGGGTTTAGGGTTTAGGGTTTAGGGTTTAGGGTTCAGTCCCCTGGAAAAGTTTGGGTTTGTGCTTCATGGATATGAAGCCCTGAAAGAAATGCTAAGCAAAAGGCAGGGCTTAGGTTCCCTTCTTAGCCCCTGTAAACAAAAAAAGGATTTTGTATTCCTAGGTTGCTCTTGGGTCGAGAAGCCCTTTTAGATTTAGGGTTTAGGGGCTAGGGGTTAGGGTTTAGGGTTTAGGGTTTAGGGTCTTTAGGAGCTGAGTGTGTTATGTCTTCTTGACCTGAAATGTGAAGCAAGTTTTGCTGGTTCAAGGGGGGGCATAGAAACCGAAAGCCTGACCCTAAAGCCAAAACCCAGACCCGAAACCCTAAACCCGAAACCCGAAACCCCAACTAAACCCAATGAGCAGTCAACGCAGCTGCCCGGCACCGGGCTTTCAACAAAAGACGCCGCGTGTGTTTTGGGTGTTAGGGGTTCAGGGAGCCTTGGGCAGTTCTTGTGCGTGCTTTGGGGGGGGGGGGGGGGGTCTAGGTACCCTAGCAATGCTTCGGGTTGAACCTGAAGACACACACGGAAAGCCTCGATTCCTTACCTGGGTTGAGAGCTTGGGCCTAGGGTTTAGGGTTTAGGGTTTAGGGTTTAGGGTTTAGGGTTTAGGGGTCTTCTTTTATGGACTCGTTTGTGTTCGCAAACCGGCACTCCCCAGAAACATGCAAAGCATTTAGCTTGGGGTACCCTTGTGCACCCTTAGGAAGCCACTTGAATTGCACCCTAAACCCGAAACCCTAAACCCTAAACCCTAAACCCTAAACCCTAAACCCTAAACCCTAAACCCTAAACCCACAACATGCAGACAGAATGGTCGTTGGGTCTGAGAAGCCCTGAAGCCTAAACCCCCTAAACGCTAAACCTCGAAGCCCGAAACCCCTAAACCCTAAACCCTAAACCCTAAACCCTAAACCCTAAACCCTAAACCCTGGGCTGCATGAAAGTGCTTGGAGCCTGAGGTCGGCAAGAAGCAGGGCCGGCTTGGGAGAAGAGGCTTGAGGGTCTGGGGTTTAGGGTTTAGGGTTAGGGTTAGGGGTTTAGGGGTTTAGGGGTTTAGGGTTTAGGGTTTAGGGTTTAGGGTTTAGGGTTTAGGGTTTAGGGTTTAGGGTTTAGGGTTTAGGGTTTAGGGTTTAGGGTTACAGCGTTGATCTCGGTTCGCGAGCTTTTTGGAGGGGTCAGGCCAATGCACTAGAACCAATCCGGTTAAAGCCCGACACCCTAAAAGTGTCACCCTAAACCCTACCCTAAACCCTAAACCCTGAACCTACATCCCTACCTCCTATGTTAAGGGACTCAGCCCTCTCATCCGTTTTCCCTAAATGCGTTTTTTTTTGGGGGGGTTAGAGGGTTTAGACGTTTAGGAGTCGGGTTTAGACGTTTAGTGTATAGGGCAACCCTAAACCCTAAACCCTAAACCCTAAACCCTTATTAGACCACCCTAAACCCTAAACGTTATACCCTAAACCCTAAAACGTAACCCCTTAGACGTTTAGGGCTTATAAGGGTTTATAAAACAACTGGTTCATAAGTAACCCTAAACCCTAAACCCTAAACCCTCCCAGTAAGGGTTGTTTAAAGCGCTTCTGTCGGACTTCGGCTCGAAGCCGCCAGCTTTAGGGCTTAGGGTTTAGGGCCCCCCAAGCTGACCGGAGAGGAAGGTTTAGGGTTTAGGGTTTAGGGTTTAGAGGTTTAGAGGTTTAGGGGTTTAGGGTTTTAGGGTTTAGGGTTTAGAGGTTTAGAGGTTTAGGGGTTTAGAGGTTTAGGGTTTTAGGGTTTAGGTTGTAAAGTTGAGGGTTGAATGTGGGTGCAAGTCCGGAAGCATCCCCGTCTGGCTCAGAACAGTTCCCAAATCCAGAAAGTGCCCAAGAAAACCTTGAGCCCCTAGAAGTACGAGTAACACATTCACAAAAACCACAATCTCCAAGCCCTGAGCCCTAAAAGGCCAAAACCTTGGGCTGTAAGAGGCTCTCCATCGTTGAGCTCAGCGAGAGCTGCGGGCGAAGCCAAGCTAGAAGACACACGAGTTCCGGAGGACAGGGTTTAGGGTTTAGGGTTTAGGGTTTAGGGTTTAGGGTTTAGGGTTTAGGGTTTAGGGTTTAGGGTTTAGGGATTATCGGATTACACGGCTGAGGGTTGTGGCGGTTCAGAGTATCGGGGCATTGGGGATTTTCAGGTTGGGGGGGGGGTCAGGGGCTTTGGTACAGGGGCTGCGGGCTCCAGGAAGGGTGGTTGGGTCAGCTTTTGCAAGGGCTCACAGCCACCTCTACCACCTAAACTCTAAACCCTAAGCCCTATAAACCAGGGGTTTAGGGTTTAGGGTTTAGGGTTTAGGGTTTAGGGTTTAGGGTTTAGGGGCGAGAAGCAAAGTCCCCTGCTCTGTAGCTAGTCATCCTCGTTTTCTGCGCGTTCGCGTCCAAAGCGCATGTACCGCCAGCTGGCAGGCAACACAGCAAAGCACAACCCTTGAACCCTAAACCCTGAACCCTAAACCCTAAACCCTAAACCCTTACCATGTTTCGGCTCGTTTGGCTTCAAGTGCAGCTGTGGAGTGGCTTGTGAAGTGCGAATTGTAGGAGGGTTTAGGGGTTAGGGCTTAGGGGCTAGGGGCTTTTAGTTGTTGATGTTTGTCACCTGCAAGGTTGTTGGTGCAGTCCACAAGTCAAGCGCGCTTCAGGCTTCTGAGTGTCGAGGCGTGGCGCCTGAGGCGGCATCATGTCGATTTCAGTCCATGTGCACCTCCTGAGTGGCGCGAGCATGACTTTGACAACGGAACCGGAAGAGTCGGTCACCAGCTTGTGCCAAAGAGCCCAGGGCGCCCTGAGAGTTGGCAAGGGAAGGTTGCTGACAGCCTCTGGAGATACACTGGCCGACGGTACTGTCAAGCGAGCACGTTTGCAAGATCATGATGTGCTGACCCTGCATGTCGGGCAGGTTCGCCTTTCGGCTTGGAAGTACACTGGACAAGATTGGCGTATCCGTGGCGGTGCATTTGCTGCACTCCTGGGCGATGGATCTGTGGTGAACTGGGGCCATGCTGAATACGGAGGCGAATACGGAGTCCCCAGAGGCAACAGCAGCGAAGTACAAGATCAGCTACAGAACGTGCAGCACGTGCAAGCTTCTTCACAGGCGTTTGCTGCGATCCGGACTGATGGATGTGTGGTGACTTGGGGCCATGCCAGCTGTGGCGGCGACAGCAGTATCGTACAAGATCAGCTCAAGAACGTGCAGCAGGTGCAAGCTTCTGAAGGGGCGTTTGCTGCGATCCGAGCTGATGAATCTGTGGTGACCTGGGGCAGTGCTGCTTACGGAGGCGACAGCAGTGCCGTTCAAGATCAGCTGAAGAAAGTACAGCACGTGCAAGCTTCTGATCAGGCGTTTGCTGCTCTCCTGGGTGATGCATGTGTGGTGACCTGGGGCCATGCTGCCTGTGGCGGCGACAGCAGTGCCGTACAACATCGGCTGAAGAACGTGCAACAGGTGCAAGCTACCAAGGTGGCTTTTGCTGCGATCCTGGCCGATGGCTCTGTGGTGACCTGGGGCCCTGCTGCCTATGGCGGCGACAGCAGTGGCGTAGAAGATCAGCTCAAGAACGTGCAGCACGTGCAAGCTTCTGATGGGGCGTTTGCTGCTCTCCTGGGTGATGGATGTGTGGTGAGCTGGGGCCATGCTGCCTTTGGGGGCGACAGCAGTGCCGTACAGCATCGGCTGAAGAACGTACAACAGTTGCAAGCTAGCCAGGTGGCTTTTGCTGCGATCCTGGCCGATGGCTCTGTGGTGACCTGGGGCCCTGCTG